AGACCTGGTGAGGTGAAACTTGGCCTGCGAGGCCAGCCATGACCTAGTTTGATACCATGTAATAATTTTTTGGAAGCATCTGATTTGAAACTAATTGGCATTAAGTGAAAAGCCTCTACACTATATAGACTAAACTTGGGTGACTTAGAAAAGCGATATGGGACAAGTCTCCAGCATGGGTAATGCAAAAGCATGAAGTTAACAAGATCAAAATCTGTCATTCTACATGATTATGAAAACTAACCTAGCCTCGTCTCTGTTATTAAGCTTCGGAGCACAAATAATAGAGAAGAGTGTTCAAGCTTCTTAAGTTAGCACATTAAGGTGTACTAAACTTAGGTGGCCAAATCACATATTTTCAAATTTCCTTAATAGTATCTGTGTATGGTTCATAAAATATGGATATTAAAATTTAATTTATGGTAGAGAGCATAGTTTTAAATCGTGATGTCAGCCAACATAATGGTCGCGGTCATAGTCTAATGATATTGGGAGTTTCGATCAATGTGTAACGAGAATAAAAAATTGAACTCGTGAATGTTTTTCACATTTTAGAAAATGCCAAAAACTCATTGGTAATCATGTTCTAAGTCTATTTATTTCAATTTAAATGTTTGTAATGGGTTTGGACCTATATAGTGGCATCTAAAAGCATATTTTATAAATGTTATTGGGTTTTATGTTGATTTCAAGGCTTAAAATAGTTGAGAATTTGGTAAAAGAATTTTACTATCTAGAATAATTAGAATTGCCACTAATAAATCAACATTTGTTGGTTAAATAATAATACAAATAACACAACAATAGCAGTGGCTAATACATGCTCTCTAATATAGTAACATGCTAATATCTATTCGTTGTTAATTTTCACAAGTGACTACCAAATCATCTTGCAAGTTAAAGGTATTCAAGAAAACCCATGGTATATGATTATCACTAAATCATCACAGGAAAATGAAACAGTGCTTGAAATCATCAAATTTTATTGATTTGAAGCAACCAACATCAACACCAAAAAAAGCCACAGCCTTAGATGCAAGATAAAGATCTTGGCTGTATTACTGGAGGACAGGACATATTAAATGGAAATGAGGAAGTGGCTGATGACAAGATTACATGCCAGCGCGGTTTCTATCCAGTTTTGTGTTGGTATGGGCTGCAAGTAACAAAGACATTTATCAATTCTTGCATTTTATCTCTCAAGTATAAGATCAGTGAATGGCGTTGTAGTGACACTTGGTCTGGGCATGTCTATCAAAATATTGAGACAGATTGGTCACCTGAATACTAATCAAATGCATATAAAATCTCAAGCCCAAATGAGTAGATCTAAGTATTTCAAACAGGTGGAGAGCAGAAACAGAGAGAAGAGAGAAGAGAGAGAAAAATGAACATATTGTGTTTGGGTATATTATATTGTATTGCCAACATAGATGGTAAGGGTTGTATCAGATAAAATAAGAGTTGTAACGATCAATATGGTCCGTTACGGTGCCACAAAGGGAAAACAACGGTTGTAATGGTTACCGACGGTTGTATTGGGACTTCAAAAACTTGTTACGTATATGGATGGTATATTACACGATGGGCATTATTTAAAACTCTGGTGTAGAGTGCAAAACTCATTTTTCTAGAACCATAATATATGCACCTAAAGGGGTAGACAAGATGGTCAGTCATTGACCTCATGAAGCTTAAGTCTCAAGTTCGAGGCTTTCATTGCTGGTCCACTTGTAGAGTGCACATGGAACAAGCGGATTGTTTGCGCCTTCTGATTAGTTGGAGTTCTAGAGTTCCTTTTTAACCGGGGGAACATAAGATATGCTTCAAAATCAATTAGTTTTGGAATAAGCATGCCTTGTGATTAGTTGGATTTTTAAAGAGGCCTAGATGCCTTTTTTTTCTTCTTTTTTCTTTTCAACTTCAGAAAAACCCCGAAAACTTAGTATATGCTTCAAAATCAAATAGGTTTGGAATAAGCATGACCAAGAACCTATGAGTTATTACTTTGCCTAAAATAAGGGAAAAATTCCCAATAAGTCCTATTTTTCCCGTGAAAAGTTCTGTAAACTGTCCCGACATTGATTCCGGTTAGTTTCTACAAGGGTCCAGCAAGACTCCGTAAACTGTCACAACAACTGTCACCACATTGTCTGCTACAACGGTCCGACATGACCCCATAAACTGTCTTCTACATGGTTATGACACCCCCATACAGTGTCCTCTACAACGTTATGACACCACCATCCAGTGTCTTCACCAATGGTCTGACACGACCATACAGTGTCTCTTATCCTCTTTTATTTTTATGTATTTTCTTGTTTTGTTACTCTCTCCAAACTCAAGTTGGTTAGTTCCTATCCCCCTTGAGTTTGCGGGGGGCTGTTAAAATCCACCTACTCTCCACCTACTTCACCCACTTAAACCTACTCCACTAAACCTAACCCACTACACCACTACCACCTCCACTTCACCTACTCCTTACCTACTACACACTCACCCTCTTCTATATATAGGAATCATGAATCATTGTAATATATATCAATATATCAATCAATAATACAATCAATATCTATACAATTCTCTATTTCTCTTTATACATTAAATTTTCTACAAAAGTCACCATTGTATAATGAATAGATTGATTGTCTATGTGAAGCTGGATATTGAGAGGGGATTGTATGAGAGCTAAAGTATAACAGCTGTAAAAAGATAGATGTACTAAGGAAATGATTGTGTAACAGTAGATAATCAGTCTTGCTTTATGGTATAAAAAATGGGGTTGTTAAGGAAAAGTCCTATACATAAAACTTGTTTCATGATAAGTTCCAAAGATATTTTACAAATCCAAAAAAGTAGCTATGCAGAAGACCAAAAATGGCAGCGGAATCTATATTTTAGAAGAAAATCACTACAGTTAGAATACTTACCCATTTGGATCGAAATCTATATTTTAGGAGAAAATCATGATAGTTAGAGTACTTACCCATTTAGACTTGTTTTCTCTGCATTTGTATACATATAGATCTAATAGTGTGAATTTATGGTAAGTGTGAAATTTAGAAATGTGAATATTCACACTTTCAATGAATAAAGTGTGAATATTCATATTTAAAACTGTGATATAGAAGTTGTAAGTGTAAAACTCCACACTTTTGGTAAATAAACTTGCTCAAGCACTATGATGTACAGTAAGCATAACGAACATAATGATATACATACCGTGCAAATTTCCACTAAAAAGAAACGTATCATTTATGCCTACAAATTTTCACAAAAAAGGAAAAGTTTATGATACACATGCAATGCAAATTTTCTACAATAAACATAATGATATTCAATCATTTAAATGATGGGTAAAATAGCTATAAAAATAGTTAATATTTAAAAGTGAGGAGAATATTGAGATGGTCAAGTTGAAAAGGGTGATAATAGACTAGGAAATATAGGATTTGTTGGAAGTTAAGTAGTGTTAAATAGATATCAAAAATACGGAAAACTAAGGCAGTATTGACCTTGCTAATCACACTAACCCAAGATCAGTGATTGTACCAATTATTTGTAATTTGGTTCACATATTAACTTGTTAGGTGCTTCGAAGGCAAGATGAACACTGCAAATTATGTTGATGAGGGCAAAGGCTATATTGGAAGGAATATTAGCTAGAAATTGAATAGCGTGGTGAAGATTTATATTGCCAATCTTAAGTAATTGGTCTAGATTTGGTCGGTTGACACAATTTCTATTACATAAATTCTTGGTGAATTTGTTGAGATTATTTGGTTGGAATGATCAGGTTTTGTTTTTTCCAGTTTCAAGGATCCAAGAGAGTTTTTTTCTTGCTTAAATAATGTTATGATTACCATATTTTATAACTGTATTTTGTTTATCATCTCGTGTCACTATTGTATTGGTTTAATGTGCCTTTCCAATTATAATTGTCACCAATGCAGTGGGGACACATGAGCTGGTAAACACATTATGGTAAAAAAATGTAGTCATCATAACATAATATTCGTTTTTCTTGTAGTATCATTGTCGTAAGTAAAGTTAAAGAAATTTTCGAAGAGTATAAGGATTTCATTGAAATTGTACGTTTGGTTGGAAAAAAAGTTGGCAGATAGTCTCACTTAAATTCCTTAGATGATAATTTGCCAGAAGCGAATTTACTTTAGGAACATGGTTTTAATCATGGTATAGACCACCATAATAGTCTCAATAACGGTGTAACAGTTTTTGGAATATTGGTTAATGCTTGATGGGAATCTGTTACTGGAACTGCTATGTATTCTATCACAAGTAAACCTTTGAAACTCATTGGTGCATATGTTTTAACGTCAATTTTGTCTTTGATGGGGGTTCAGAAGGAAATTAGATGACTATAAATTCAAGAATATAGTATGAATTTTAGTATAATTGGGAAATGGGTTTAATAGGATTTTGTTTCGTTATTTGTAGTTTCCTATTCACTGGTTTCTAATCATTGGGTTTTCTATTTAGATAATGCTTATGCTTGTATATATGATTTTATGTAATAGTTTTAGAGGCTGGACTTCTTGATTTCATTATTGTGTTTGAGATTGGGAGTTGTTTTGGGATTGCGATGCCGAATTAATTTTTTTCCAATTCTTGATCTTGGGTGCTACATTAGTCTGTCTCCTAATTTTTAGTGGTTTTTAATCAAGCTTGTGATAGACATCTAAATATATGTTTTGCTAATGTTTTGGACTTCACGATAGTGTAAAGCAATGAAAACTCTGTTTGTTGAATAAGCAATACTTCAGAATATTTTTTATAATGCTTTATGACATTATGCTTTTGAATTTATTTTTAACCTTCAACATCTTTTGTTATTATTTTTATTTTCTCCTTTACATTTAATTGCGCAATTTGCCTTGATTTTGCATGCGTTTTATGTTTTGAGAAGGGAAAACATACTGCAACATATTGTGATGAGATGATAGTTTGATGGTTCAATTAACTTTGCTGATGATTAATAGGTAGCTAAATTTTGTGCGGGGCGTATGCATGAAGTGGTAGCGGAGGAGTGGGATAGAGAAACAGTCGACGGATTTGAATGGCGCCAGAAATGGGAAGCAGCTTTCTCTAGTAGTTTTGAGAGGGCTGACAATGAGGTTGTGACAGAGGCAGAAGCACCAGAAATGGTTGGATCAACTGCTGTTGTTGTGGTTCTATCAGGTTGCCAAATCATTACATCCAATTGTGGTGACTCGAGGGCAGTTCTTTATCGAGGAGCTGAAACAATCCCCTTGACTGTTGATCAGAAGGTCAGTTAAGAAATTCTCGAAGTTCTGTTTGTGCTTGGCAAAGTTTTTAAAGGCGAATGCGTACCTCGAGGCGTTTTACCCCTCATGAGGTGAGGCGTAAGCCTCAGGGCGTTAAGGCGTAGGCATTTCAAATTTCAAATTTAAATATTTAGCGAATAAATTAAATATTTTAAAATAGTAAAAAAATAAAAACAAAATTAAATATAAAAGTGTAAATACTTTTCACTTTAATGTGTTGAACATTTTATTACATATAAGGATGTTTTCCTTCACTGAAAGTAAAATTGATATTCTTAACTTCAGGGATTGAGCTTCTCACTTGACCATTAATTGTTTTTTTTCTTGATTGATCATTTACTTAATTTTTCATGTAGAATATAGTTGCAAAAAGGGGTTCGCTTTATTTTTTTATGTTTAAACAATCCAATAGACTAAGTTTAACAAAAGCCCAAGGCAACCTCTGCATGTGCATACTCACATACTAATGCGCAAAAAGCGTACAAAGTGCACCTAAGGTGCGTGTCTCAAACTATGATGCGCAAGCCTTTGGGGAGTAATGCCTAAAAATCGAAGCCTTGATGCGTTTTACCTTAGCCTCAAGGCGAGCCTCAAGAATGCCTTTTAAAACTCTGGTGCTTGGTATAGATGGTACCATTCCATTATAGTACTTTTCCTTGTGATTTGTTTCTTCCCTTTCAATTTCATACATTATTTTGTAGGTTACATGAAAATTAAGTCCTTGCTTTTACTGGTTGAAATATTTTTTGAGTTTTTATGAGTTTATATGTATAGCAAATGGGGTTCAGAGAGGTAGAGAAAAAATTTAGTCCGTCTAAACAACTTTTTTCCTTAAACTTATTTTTGGTCGACACAAATTCATAGGACATTTATTTCAATGGCCAGGTTTAAAAACAATTGTTGTTGCTTTTTACAGCCTGATAGAGAAGATGAACTCATGAGAATTGAAGGCGAGGGAGGGAAAGTTATTAATTGGAATGGTGCCAGGGTGTTTGGTGTTCTTTCCATGTCCAGAGCTATAGGTATATACATTTTCTCTTCTTTACAGATTTGCTGTTTGTCAATTTCAAAGCTTGCAAATAACCACTATTTTATTATCAAAGCATCTAATGATACATATGCCCTTTTCAAACCATTATGCAAATGTCAGCTTGCTGTTTCCCTTTGCTACAATTTTTGTAACATTTTGCTCTAAACCACACAGAACTGAAAAAGATTGTTTTGTGTTGAATACTTTCCATTTGTCTGTGATAGACATAGACCAATAAGTCAATGATTTACTATTGTAAATACATAGGAATGAATATATTGTTTTATTGTAACTTTCCAATACAATTGTTATGTTACAACAGTAGCAATGTAGAAACATTTGGTACATGAAACTGACAAAATGGAGTGTGTAGGCTATGGGAATCTTAGCCTTCGTTTGGCATAAGCTAAAATGGGGTTTTTTGGCTAAAATAGCCACAACAAGACAAAATAGGCTTCTTAGACCAATAAGTCAAAATGTCACATTCAAACCATAATCATTTCATTTTTTCTCTCACAAAAGTCAAAAGAGCCAAAAAGATCTATCCCAAACGAGACTTTTTAGAAGCTAAAATAGCCAAAAAGTCAAAAAGCCAATCCATATCCTAAATGAACCCTTATTCTCTCTCTCTCTCTCTCTCTCGGTCCTTTGGCTTGAGTCCTTTATTTATGTCTTGATGTATTTGATACGAAAGGAGCCCATCATGAGTTTCAGTGGGCGATTAGTCACCTCAAAAGCCAACTTTTTGGCTAAAAATGGAAAACCATTGTTTGTCATAAGCTAAAAAAGCCAAATGTCACATTCATATTTTTACTAGAAAAAAGACAAACCTTTTTAACAGCTTCCCAAACAAATTAGCTTTTTAGCATCTAAAAAGCCCAAACAGTCAATCCCAAATCAATAAAATTCAGAGGAATATATTCCAAAAACACCCTGTTTCGAAAAAATGGTGATAACATCTCTATTTGTTATGTTTTATTACAACCATTCTTTTGAAAGTAGTACTATGCTTAGTAAGCATATCTTTTTCAGGTGATAGGTACTTGAGGCCATGGATAATTCCAGTTCCTGAAATAACTTTCACGACAAGGAGTGACGAGGATGAGTGTCTGATCTTGGCAAGCGATGGTCTTTGGGATGTCATGTCAAATGATGAGGTCGGAGAGGTGGCTCGCCGCCTCTTAAGGAGACGGCGCAGATCCATGACTGATGATGAGGTTCCTGTGGCACAAGCCATTGCTGATAGTCTCAAAGAAATAGCTTTCGGAAGAAACAGTTCAGACAACATTTCTATCATTGTTGTTGATTTAAAATCGAAGAGAAAACGTCAGCAAAGGCAATAGAAAAGCGAGTAAATTCTTTTACTTGTCTCTTTTCTTTCCCCAAAAATCCAACTCTCTTTCCTGAAGCCCAGAGACGAGAAAGGCTCGAAGGAGTACAGATGATCATGCCTTGATTACAACCAGAAACTGGTTTTGTTACTGGAGTTATTACGCTAGACCATTTCCTAATTTTAACTGGTTTGGTCAACAAAAAATTAAATATGAAATCATTAAAGAAAAAAAAAATTGTTCAATTGAAGTTCGAAGGAAAGTTTAGTTTTTCTCTTATCACTACTCAAATCCCATCAGAGGGAATTTTAAGAAATGAGGGAAAATTACAAATTATATATTTTTTTAAAGCATTTGCAATTATTTTAATCATATTGTTTTATTTTTATTTCTATGCCTCGAGAAAAATTTAACTAATGAATGTGGATGTATTTCCAGAAAAAAAGGTTGATTTTCTCGGAAAGTTTAGTTTTTCTATGTCACATCCCAAAGAACTGAAGGACAGAAGGCTCTTCTATTAGCAGTAAAGCTTCAAATACACCTGCAGCTTTAGTCTTGATCACTGAGGAATATCTTATAGTTGCATATATATGTTTGCTCTTGTGCATACATTTGTATTGGTTTGTTGATTCATTAGTTGATTGCTGAAAACCTTGTGTAAAGAATTGCTCATGCAAGAATGCAGTTTGGTGGCCATTCATGGTTTGTGAGGCCCCAATCTGGATGAATTCAAATCAAACAGTATGCTCAGAGTGTGTTTTCACTATATATAGAGCCGAGTTTCACGGAAGAATGTAAAAACATGTACAGCAACAATCTATATCAAATTTGAATCCATGACTTGTCTCTTGTTATAGTACTTGTTTTTTCTGATATCTAATGCTGCAATACATTTCCTGTTCAGTCAATTATTGTTTGTGTTTGGAAATTAGATTGGATCTGACCGATCCATAATCCACAGAGAATCCATATGAGTTATCTGATGAGACCATGCATTTGAACCCTGATATGGGATATACATGTTGTAGATAAAGTTGTTTAGGATGACATCCCTCATCCCATATATGTAGGATTCTATCTCTATGTACCTGATACATAGATACATCATTCAAGTGTGCACGCATGCTCAAACTATAGAAAGATATTGTTCTTCTCTCTTTTTCAATCTCTCTAACAGTACCATCGTAGAGTTTTTGAAATTTGGAATGTGGAAGTCATGGGTAACTACAGACCGTTTGTGAGTTGATGATTGTTCTTGCAATCTTAGTGATAATTCAGGCTTGTGAGTGATCTGCTTCTGCTTAAAGTATTTCATATACTTGGCTTTTGTTTACAGTTTGTGTATAAAACATGTACGCATGATATTTATTATTTGAAATTCATACAGGACGTGAAAAAGTGGGTAAATTCATCCGGTGATATACGTATATAGCAGCCCTTATAGCATTTTCTTACCGACTAGGTTCCTGCATCTTGTTTATGAATACATATTTTTCCTAACTCTTTGCGTGAATGCATTAAACAAGCTAATAATATCATAAAAAGTTATTCTTGTGAAAATACAAGCTATGTGTTTTGAAGGCTGGCAAGGTTGAAGAAAGCGCCGCGCTTATTCTTGAGCTGAGCGTAGGTTCCTCGTTCCACCAGTGCTCCATCAGCAACAAAGGCAATGGAGTCAAGGTTCTTGATCGTGTTAAGGCGGTGTGCCACCACCACTGTTGTCCTTCCGACCATGATCTGGTCCAGTGCTTCTTGCACCACTTGCTCTGATTGAACATCAAGAGCACTGGTTGCTTCATCTAGCAGTAGTATGGTTGGGTTCCGAATTATCGCTCTTGCTATGGCAATCCTCTGCTTCTGTCCTCCTGATAATTGTACTCCCCTCTCTCCACATTCAGTTTTGTACCCATCTTTCAGTGCTCTGTGAAAACGTTGTTTTGCATTAACAAAATTTTAGAAGTCGTATTTGGATTTTGAATTTATGAAGAAATTTAACATCATGTCTTTACTTACGAGATGAATTCTTGAGCATTGGCAGCCCTAGCAGCCTCCACAACCTCATTCTCGGTCGCATCAAGCTTCCCAAACACAATGTTGTCACGAATGCTGCCTGAATATAACACCGGTTCTTGGCTAACCAGTGCCATGTGCCTTCTATACCACCCGATGTCAAGTGACCTTATGTCCACCCCATCCACCTTCACTGCCCCTCTCTCGACATCATAAAATCTCTGAACCAACGCAATCACCGTCGACTTCCCACACCCGCTTTTCCCCACAAGCCCAACGCTTGTTCCTGGTTTCACTTCCAGGCAAAACTGGCGCAATACGAGGCTCTCAGGCCGCCTTGGGTATGCAAAATCAACCCTTTTCATCTCTATCCCGCCTGCCATTTTCTCCAACTTGGTTCCATCCTCGGCCTAATATCAACAATTAATATCAATGTCATAAGAATTTTTCTAAAAAAGTGCATAGAATGTAGTTAAGACAGCATTGCACTTGTCCTGGACTACATAATGTGCCCTTTTTTGTAGAAAAATTATGTGTTCGTAGCGTTATTGTTGTCAAAATACGAATCAGAGTTGTTAACAAGAAATGTCTTACTTACAGTGTAAGACCTTGGAATTAGAGATTGTCGATCAAGAATGGCGAAAACAGATGCCACAGCGGTTGAGCCTTTGGCTATATCAGAAGTCATGCTACCAGCTTCAGCTATAACTTTTCCCGTACTCACCAATATGAAGAATGTCTTGAAAACAGCTCCGGATGATATCTCCCCCGAATTCACTAAGATTCCACCATACCAAAAATCCAATGCCCAACACATGAAAGTTAGACACTGAGCAGATCCGATACCAATCCCCGCTAGCCATGATTTCTTCTTTGCCTCCCTCCTCGGTTCATCTTGAGCCTCATCGAAAAGCTTAAGAACCTTTTGTATGCTTCCAAATGAAGTCACAATCCTATGGTTGTACACTGCCTCGACAGCGATTTGAGTGCTTTGATTTTGAGCCTTGACGAAGTTCATTGAAATCGAAGAAAGTAGAACTTTTCGAGTGTAAAAACATAGGATTGTGAGCGGTTGAACCGCAATCATAACAAGTGCTAGCTTCCACGCTACAGCTAGTCCCATGACCATCGCGACGGTCACAGCTGAAACGGTTTGGACTAAAAGTGAAACTCTGTCTGCAACAAGGGATTTGACCATGGAAGCCTCGTTGCTCAATCTAGCACATAAAGCCCCACTAGAATTCTTTTCTTCATCGAACCACGACGCTTCAAATGTCAATATTTTCTCAAGCATCTTCAATCGAATCCTTTTCGTTAGCTGCTCACCCATGTAAGCAAAATTGTAATGTTGCAAGAGATTTACAACAATAGAAATGAGGGAAAGCGAAGAGAAAATTAAACAGTAGGTTCGGATTCTAGATCGTATTTCCTCGTGGCTAGGTGAGAAAAAAGCCGAAATCATGCCCCCAATGGTGAGTGCATAGACAGGTTGTACCGCACCGAAGATTATAGCAGACAGGCTTCCAATTAGGCCTTGTTTCCATTCTGGGGAGTTCATAGAAAGGAGCCTGGAAAAGGATGGTGGTGGATGAGATACGGTTTGTGGGTCATCAGTCGGTTGATGTGGTGTGGAGAAGAAAGCGGGGCTGGAACGACCAGTGCTTAGCCTGCCAGCACTGCTTCTTGTGACTGACAAGAGGCCAGGTTCGGAATGCTGGTCTTGGTCATCAGGGTGGTTGTCGAAGCTGCTGAATTGTCTTTGTAGTTTTGCGAGTTTTGCATAGTGGCCATTTTTTATGTTGATTAGGTCATTGTGTGAACCTATTTCAATGATACAACCTCCACTCATGACTGCAATCAAATCTGCATTTCTCACTGTGGAGAGCTTGTGGGCAACAACCTGATCATCAAAAGCAATATTAGCAATGGAATGGAGACAAGTTATGTTGATTAATTTGTTGCATGGTTTTAAATATTACCAATATGTATCATTTGTTACTCCTAATACTGCTACACGATGATCAATACCGATTAATCTCTCGATATTGTGATTGAAAACCTTGATATGTACTCCAATTTTGGCAATTTTCATAAGAAAAAATAGAACAAGTAGCTTTCTTGCATGCAATTAAGCTATAGATTAGAATTCTACTAAACCTCACTCAATATAATCCAATAGTTGCACACATATTGGATGAGTATGGTCATATGTTGGAATTAGGGTATCATCTTATGATTAAGAAATAAATGAAGCTGGTTATTGTACTTATAAAAATACCCATATTTTACTAACAGAGAGGATACACAATACCAGTGTGGTTCTTCCCATGGAGGCTTGATCAAGGGCATTTTGCACAAGTGATTCTGATTCTGAGTCAAGCGCACTCGTTGCTTCATCAAGTAGAAGAATTACAGGGTTCTTGATAATCGCCCTAGCTATGGCAATTCTCTGCTTCTGCCCGCCTGACAAGAGTGCTCCTCGCTCTCCAACCTGTAACATTTTTTATCACATCAAAAAACCACACATTGTAAATTAAACCAAGAAAACATCAAGCCAAGAAAACATCAAGAAACACTATATAAGGCATTATAGTTGGAAAAAAATGAACGAAACAAACACGCCCTTAAAAAGTCCTACCCTGGTCTCATACCCTTCTGGAAGCTGCCTAATGAAATTGTGAGCATTTGCAGCCATTGCAGCAGTCATCACTTCATCCATAGTTGCATCATGTTTCCCAAACATGATATTCTCTTTTATCGATGTTCCAAAAAGTGCGTGTTCTTGGCTAACAAGTCCCATTTGTCCTCTCAACCATTTCAATTGAAATGTCTTTATGTCGATACTGTCAATGCGAACGACTCCACAATCTGCATCGTAAAATCGTTGAAGCAAAGCAATGGCAGTGGATTTTCCACTCCCGCTTGCGCCAACAAGAGCCACGGTTTTTCCTGCTTGGACTTTGAGATTGAAATCTTTGAGAACAATGGAGTCTGGGCGAGAAGGATAGGTGAATTTGACATGCTCGAATTCTACTTCTCCACGTATTTTGTCTAGTACTAGTCCCTTTAGGACTTCACCGTCGATTTCTGGAATCCGGTTGATCCTATTAAATATTTGCGATGCTGCAACTGAGGCTTCTGTAAGGTACCTAACTTCAGGAAGTGCCACTCCAAGGGATCTGCATAAGATTTAGTAGATTTGTTTTGTATTATTTGCACTTTTATATTGTAAAATTGTTTTTATTGGCTAAATAACAATGTTACATTGTTCAAATGAAAAAAAGTAAGTCATATTATTAAATTAAAATAGACTAAGAAAAATAAACTAGAGAAATAAATATTCAAATCTTACAGTAAAATAGAAAAATTAACTAGTCTAAAAAACAAACTCATTGCACCTCCAACTAGTAGATTAACAAGTTCTCATTATTGTTGTTGTTGTTGTTGTTTTTTGTGAAAAAGTTATCGATTTAGTTTAATTGCAGTGAGAGGCTTGTATTAGCCAAGCTAGCAATTAGTACTTCTTCTCAAATTCTTCATTTGCCATGTATCAGTTTGCAATGTAAGAATAATTAAGGTACCTCAAGAATGGAAAAATGGTCGCTGCTAAAATTAATTATGATGCATTATAGGAAGTAGATGCTAATTCCCCAAAGTTGACTTAATCAAAGTTACTCTTCCCCCAATTGATAAATATCTCCTTTCACATAATTCCAAATTTTTCTATCAATCTCCAGTAGCCAAGTCTTTTATTGAGTTTGTAACTTTTGTTGTGATTCATAAAATCTTGAACGCAAACATTACTTTGATCATTTTCCTCTTCTATCTATGTGTAAGTAATGTCATTTTCCTTTCATTTTATTTTTTACAAGAAATTCAAGATCTAAACACAATATAAAAGCAATACAAGAAAGCAAAGTTTGATGAAAAGAAGCCACTTACAGCCCACCCATTATGAATGCAATGCCGGCTGTATAGATCTGTCCTCCACTCTCTCCCTTGTACATAACCAAACGACTTCCATACCAAGCAAGGAAAGCCCATATTGCAAAAGAAAGCCCCGTGCTCCCAACAGCAAGGCCTTTCGCAATTCCTTTCTTAATCCCCATCTTGGTTGTCTTATCGAGTATTGCTGAGTATCTTTCAACTATATTCTTCTCGGCAGTGAATGAATAGACGGTCTTGATGGAGCCTAGAGCTTGCTCAACTATGGTGTTTGCTTTGCCGTATTCCTTGAAGGATTTGTCAGACAAGTAGAGAAGGTATTTGCCATAAATCATTCCAGGAATGACTAAAAGCAGTAGTGTTGGGAATGCTACTAAAGACAGCCTCCATGAAAAGTAAGTGGAGAATGCAAGTCCTGAGATGAACTGTGATATGTGCATCAAAAATTTTGGCACCTGTAAAGAATTAAGCATGCTAAGTTCAGATGTCGCAAATTGACAATCATATTTGACATAAGATTGGGCCTTGGTGGTAAGTTTGCTCCATTATGACCCGGATGTCATACACAATAAGATTGTATCTATTTAATCTTTTTCAAACCCACAATGATGTCCTTTTTAAATTGGATATAAGATACTTAAAAACATCCATGAAAAATTTCATTAATATAGTAATCATTTTCTTGAATTGTTCAATCTTACTTGCTCATATTGTTCCCCTTATTATATTCAAGAGTCAATTATACATATTGAATAAATGTTGCGTAATTATGTTAGATGATAGTGAAGAAGTTCATGAAACTTTAGATTACTGGTTGTGAATGTTTGAATTTTAGTACTTGTAAAGAATTAAACATTCTAAGATAAGTTAAATGTCACAAATTGATAAGCATATTTGACATAAGATTGGGTCTCAATAGTAAGGTTGCTCCATCGTTACCTAAACGTTATGCAAAGTAAAGATGTATACATCTAACTCTTCTTAGATCTCACAGTGACGCCTTTTTAAGATTTGATATAAGATTTGACAATTTTCTTTTAACATGATAATCATTATCTTGAATTGTTCAATCTTACTTTCTCTATTGTTCAATAATCAATTATATATTTCATGTAAGTTGTGTAAGATGATAGTGAAGAACAAGTTCATGAAACTTGAGATTACTAGCTGTGAATGTTTGAAATCATATATAATTAGTCCATACATACCTTCTCACTAAGAACTTCTTGTATGAGAGAAGTATCTTTTGATATGCTGTTGACGATCTCTGAAGTAGTTGCTTCTTGTGAATCAAAGAATCCAACTTCTTGCCTAAGAACAGCTTCCAAATACTTGTACCGAATCCTCAGCACCTGCCGCTCACTTGTTTTACTCCAGCAGTAACCTTCTGCAAATATTTAAGTATTTTCTTAGTATAAAAAAAATAGAATTCATCGAAACGTATTGGAAATGAATCAGCCCATTTGTTATTCTGAGGCATTTAGTGAATCCCTTGTGTTTTTCTAGTTAAAAAAAGTAGGGCTTGTTTAGGGTTTCAAAAAACATGAGCTCATTTCTGTTCTTATCTTGGTTGTTGTGATGTCTCCTTATTTTGTGTCTCAAATGCTGTGTGAAATAAACAGATTTTGGCATAATCCAATTTGGAAGTGACATCCAAACAGTTCCTTAACCTTTTTGTCAACAAAGCAAAGCAAATGAAGAAAAGGTTTACCCATAAATGCCACCACCATGACTGCTAATCCCAAGTACACGAAGTATAAACTGCACTGTAACAAAAAACCCAAAAAGATATGAGAGAGATAGATAGTGAGAGAGACAGAAAAGAAAGAATGAGAGTAGTGGTGCTGCTGAATACTAACCTGTTCAATCTCAGCCATGAAATTAGCATGATTTTGTTGGGTCTTACCATAACCCAAGCTATTAAAAAGGCGGCTAACGTACAACAGTAAACAGTTTGTTGACATTCCATCTCCAATGGCTCCCAGGGTACCCAACACCATTAGCAAAATGTCAACCCTATCAGCACATCTCAACATTATAGCTATTGATTTCCTCTCTTTCCTTCCCATCTCCCCATTAATCTCTACCTCATTCTTGTCTTTAGAGCTCATCTTTCTAGCTTCCTAATAGCACCTCCTCAATATAGAGAAGCCACCACTTTGCTTTGCTCAACTCTTTCTGCAAAAGCAAGAGGAGAGAGAAATGAACAAGTACTAGCCTTGATTTGCTCTCTAACAAGTGACAATGCAAGTATATAAGCACGGTTACGTGCAACAAAATCACAGAATGACAAAAAAAAAAAAAAAAAATCAATGTGTGATACAGTTTTATATATTTTAAAATAAATCTCAATTACACATTAATTTTTCTACGTACGTCAATGTTTTTTTCTTTCTATTTTAATATATGGGAAAAGTGGATGATGCTTTATTGAATATACTCTTTTATGTTTTGTTGGTTGTCACTTTCAAAGCAACCATAAAATGATATCCCCATTCATGGACTGTTGAACAAAGATGACTATGACCACTGTCTTATTGCCCCCTATAGGTGTTGTCCCTTTTTATTGTTTTCTTTATGTTGGTTTAGTTATGGTTTTGTAATATACATGGTGCTACTTTGAGCACATGACCTTTAAAGTCTGCTTTGTTTTCAATTATTGACTAGTTAAAGAGTTGTGTGTGGGGTTATTCTAAGCTTTGGCCCCCAATTGGGTACCTATCAATTTATCTTTAGGTAGAGCACTTTAAAATATTAATGCACATCCAAAGACTAAAAGTTGATTAAGGGAGAGTGATACATGGACCCAAGATGACAAATTAATCTAAGCAACTATACGAGCGAAGCATCAAGTCCCTAACTACTTCGTTAAAGAAATGATAAAAATGATAGCAGCTCATTTTTGATGTACTTTGGACCAATTGCATCGATAGATTTATCACGGTTTGCTCCTAATTGCATTTGTTAACATCTTTTCCTACGTAGAGCATTTAAAAATATTAATGCATATTTGGAAACAAAAAGTTGATTAAGAGAGAGTGATACGTGGTCCAAGATGAAAAATTAATCTAAGCAGCTACATGAGCGCGGCATCAAATCTCTAACCACTAGGTAAAAAAATGACAAATTGATAGTAGCTAATTTTTTGTCACCTTTTGGCCCAATTGCTTCCTTAGATTTATCATGGTTTCCTCCTAGTTGCATTTGTTGACATCTTTTACTTACTGAAATTTTAATCTTGCGAGAAAGTTGAATAAAAAATTTATTCAACTGATATGGAGGGTTTCTTAAGAATTAAGATTTACATAATTCTATATATAGTTTTCTATTTGTGCAGAATTAATCCGTCCTCACATTTGACCTAGTTGAATATATGGTAGATGTATTTATTTCACATTTATCCTTGCAATTACTGTTGATCAAATAAAAATACATGTATATAAATTAAATATAGAATGATGCGGTTGCATTTAAATTTATTGGGTAAAAAAACAAAATCCACAAGAATTGATTTATTTACAAAATTACCATTATTCCTATATCGTAGGTTTGTGTGTCTATGCATAGAAGAAAGGAGGGTTTTCTCATAGCAAATTCTTGTTTTGCTTAATATTAAACTCAGACCCAAAGAACTCCTCTATATTCTAAATCTTTTGAGCACTTTATTATTATTTTCTTGGGTGAATTGTATTTTAAACCCATATAGGCTGGGATAAATTTCAATTTTATCTTGAAATTTTCTATTATATCAAACTAAATCTTATACTTTTTAATTTGTTTCAATTCGATGATTGGAGTAATTTGGCAAAATTGAAAAGTTTATATATGGACCAAATTAAATTACCCAAACTATAGGGTGAAAAAGTATAACTTTTTTTTTTATTAACAAAAAAAATCTTTATTAATAACGAAACCATACAATATATATGAGAATACATCAATAAGGTTGAAAAAAAAAAAAAAAAAAAAAGGCTGCTAAAAATGCTCTTGTTACCCAAAAAACAACCTAAGAGGGGGGTGAATTAGGTTTCTACAAATTAAAATTAATAATACCCCATCACCACCAACCCAAAAACTAGCTTAACAACTGGCTGCCACCACCCAAAGACTATCTTAACTAAAGCATATAACCCACTGAAAAAGTACAACTTACTTAAACTAAACTAAGGCCTCGTTTGGGAACAGGTTAATTTAGTAACTTTTTGGCTATTTGGTTAAAATATGAGCTAAAAAAAACTTGTATGTTTGAGATGACTTTTTGGTTTTTTACAAAAAGATGGGCAAAAAGTAGAGAGAAAAGAGAATCTTTGACTTTTTGATATGTGTTGTTGGCTTTTTAACTAATTTAGTAACTTTTTGACTTTTTGACTAAAAAGTTCGGTTGCTAAACAAGGCCTAAGTTTTGTATCTCAATTGAATGAGATTGATTACATGAATTATTTTTGTCATTTTGCTTTGTTAAGGTTACCGGTTCAATTAAATTAAATAAATAAATATATTTATGGATAAATTATTAATAAATTCTAATAATCAAGTCCTATTGAAAATAAGTCCTGGTAAAATTGTAGTTAAAAATAATTTTTTATGACGATTTTTTTTATGTGTTGCTAAAAATTGATAATTAGTGACTTTTTTTGTTACAATTTTTATAAATTGTCGTTAAAACTTACAATTATTGACTTTTTCTGTGACGAATTTTTTAAACTGTCGCTGAAAATTGAATATTAATGATGTTTTTTGTGACAATTTTTTTAAGCTGTCACTGAAATTTATAATTAGTAACATTTTTTGTGACAATTTTCAAACTATCACTGATAATTAATAATTAGTAACTTTTTTAAATAGTGTTTGGTAAAAACGCCATTAATTATCATAAGACATATTGAATAATAAGTTCACCTATTAAGACTTACATATAAGTCTCCCTAGATTGTTTATTTATTTTTTAACTATCACATCCCAAGTTAATTTAGGTCTACATATCTCATCTCTTCATATTTTTTTGTATTCCTTTTGTGGGTCCCAATCCAGACGCACACAGATAATCTGGACCATCTATCTCATAGACTTCACAATAAAATTTATCCATACAAAAAATCAACTTCATCGATAACTATAAAAATAAGAATAAATCACATTTTGTTTTATAAAATGGATAGTTTAAGTTTTAATTTAACCAGGGCATTTGGTCTAGTGATTATGTAGCACCCTTTGTGGTGTGAGGTCATAGAAAGTTTGATATGATTATTGGTCGTTAGATTTTTTAGTTATTGTGGGTTAGTGGTGTATTTGATTATGTAAATATTTCTTATAATTATAATTACTCTCCTATCTATTGAAAAAAAAAAAGAAAAGGGGAATAGTGTCTCCTAATAGCCTGACACTCTTATCTCCTAAAAAATATCAATGGTCTTTTAGCTTACCTAATTTTCTATAATGCATGATTAAAATATATGACCAACCAAATCAAATTTATTAATTTTTATGACTTAATAGATTACATTTCTTTCTTTATTTGTATATTCCCATACACCAAAGGAGATCAAGAATCAATCCCACACAATACACGCTAGCTAGGCTACCTTTGGTTCTTCCTAGTATGTTTATTTATGTCATCAACAGATCATCAAATATTCTCCAAACGATTGTGTTAGATCATCATATGCATAGCAAAGTTCATTTAGGAGATCTGAGATCTCCCTCGTAGGACCCCTCAAGAACACATTACAATATGTCACCCATAGTTGGAACTGACACTTACTAAGGATGTCGACGGATTTCACGTTGAAACTTACTCAAAAGCAAGCATGAAATCATGCAAACATGGCATACTTGATTCTGTAATTTCTGATTGATCACATTATGCATATAACAAATACACAACCAAAAAAGTTTTTTGTGATTGTAGTGAAAACAACACATATAGGCACTACTTTCATTGTGGTTGGTAGTTAAGTATGATAGTTTTTGGCAAAATGAAAAATTTTGATTGTTGAAATTCATGTCATAAGAGAATGGAAATTAGAAAGATTGTAGAATAACCATGCCTTGCTTCTTTTTCGTTTCTTTTCTTTTCATTTTTATAGGAATACAATATGTAAATTGGGTGCTTACCACTACAAAGAATTTGATGGTTGAAATTAAATTAATGTCAACAAGAGGTTTCAAACCAATTTTAGTCCTAAAAATCTAAAAAAGAAAATTGCATGTTAATATTAAATAATATGATGATGTTAAACAGATTTTGGAGAGGATTCAATAATATTAGGACAATGTTTAAGCCTCTTGTGTAAGGTTTACACATACGGGTAAAACGTAATTGTTTTATATCATTTATGTTGCTCAATTTAGTATTTCAATCCAGCCAACACATGAGACCCCCAACTACACTACAGAATTTTAAAAAATAAAATAAAAAAATACTTAGTTATAGACATCAATATTCAAAATCCAGATTTATTGGGAGAATATGTTTTCCTCGTTGGATTAAGCATATTTTTTCCTTAGTATATATGTTATAATGATGATTGTATAATAAGTACATTTGCATCATTGTATGGCCTACTTTGAATAAAAGCCCACTCAAAGCCCATTTTTCAAAGGTAAAAAGTAGTCAAATCCGGAAAATTCTTCCTTTGTCTTACTTACTTCTAATATAAACTAAACAATTTAAATTTATTTATAATTTATATATATATATTTTTGGATCAAGAAAAAAAATGCTCTAATGTCATCACTGGCCCTGCGGGTCCTGACCCCGAGGTAGCCGGTTGCCAGCCAGAAATTAACTTCCACCAAGTGGGAGACCCACTATTGCTACTAGGGAGATGAGCATATGCCTCAATAATACTTTACAATAATTTTGAGACAATACCTTCATTTTTCATAGGAACTCCACTTTTAAATCTTCCACCTTTTAATGCTATATATATATATATATATATTCAGCTGATAGGAAAAATTTACTATACATATATTCCTAAAAGGGTACATATCGTATGTCCTTTTGTAACTATATCATAATAATCGTAACAAAATTACAACAAAAATTCATTATATTTTAATATTCATATGTAACGTAATTATAAAATTTGTAACATAATTACAATAATTTGTAACTCAAACTTTTTGGCATAGACTACAAATTCAAATGAACAAAGAACATGGAGAGGAGAGAGAAAGAAAAAGCAAAAGAAAAAGAAAAAGAAAAAGCAAAGCAAGAAAAGAATACGATTAAAACAATAATATATATAAACATGAAAGAAAAAAAAAAAACATAGACCCCCATTGGAAAAGCAAACCCATTTCGTTGGTATATTCTCTCTTATTCTGAGTTGGTGATGATATTTCTCCTAATTTTCATTATAAACTAACCCAACGATGTTTCTCCTAGTTTTCGTGATGGTTCTCCTAGTTCTCTTATTCTCTCTTATCCAGAGTTGGTTTCTCACCAACTCTGAAAGTGTTGGCAAATGATAGAATAAGATTTTGGTGTCAACCGAGTTGGGATGATTTAGTCCATTGTGATACTTCTGCACTTTCTTTTTTCTGTATTGATGTATTTTGTTTTGTACTTTGTTCTTGTTTCTTGCATCAATATAGTTTCTTTTTTGCCAATTTAAAAAAAAATAAAAACTAACCCAAAAGCTTTATTTTTATTTTTATACAAACATGTTACATACCAATAATATAATACAGAGGAGAGTCCTCTCATACATACACCAAACGAGTAGCAAAGTGAAGAAAGAAAATGATAAGATAGAATACTATGGGATGGGTTGGTTTGGGATGCCCCATTGGGGCTAAAACAGTTATATAAGGCAAAATAAGTTATTTTAGTTAAATAAGATAAAATGTCACATCCAACTCATAATCATCTTATTTTTTCTCTCAAAAAGGTTAAAAAAGTCAAAAAGTCTATCATAAACGAGATTTTTTAACCCTAAGCTAAAATAACCAAAAAATCAAAAAGTCAAAAAGCTCCACATCCCAAGCTAACCCTATGTATAATGATATCCAATTATGGAAATGCAACAAAGAAGATGACATAATAAAAGATCTAACCGCACACAGGAAAAAGCCAAACCACTTCTAATGAAATCATTTGTTAACATTAATTTTAAAAAAAAATTATTTATTTATTTATTTTTTGTTGCTAACATTAATTAGAAAGTTGGCTTTGGTTCCTTATTCAGATTAGCCTAATTTCTTAGGGTGGGTTGGTAGTGGGTGGCTTCCATTATATAAATATGTATATATATATCACTATAGAATTGGCTTTCGTGGAAAATGGGATTTTAGGGCCTACTGAGAAGAAAACTATACACAACAATTAAATACTAAGAAAATTATCTAGAAAATTACACAAGAAAAGTATGTGTAAGTAGCATGATCATTCTAACTATGACTCACATTTTATCAACTTTAAATTTACGTCGCAGATTTAACAAATTTCAGAATAAAATTTTAAAAATATAAATTTTAGGGGTACAAATATAATTTTAAAAGGTGAATGTGGAATTGCTTTGAATTTGGTAGTGTGATTAAAAACAGGCCAGAGAGCAAAACTTAGGACTTCATTGCAATTCAAGTTGGATTTCAGGAAAATTTAAAATATTGAGTCTTCGAATTCACCTTCTTCTTTTTAATTTATATTTATATTTATATTTATGATGAAACTTTAGTTTTTTTAATAACTCTGTTTAGGACCATCCGTTTCAGTGTCACATGTTTTCACATGATTCCTGTACTTGCAGTGTTTAAATTTTTATTAATAATTTTTTGTAATTTTTTATTACATTTTATTATTTTTGTTTGTAGTAACAAATTAGTCTAATTAATTGTTTCGTTATTGAATTTAAAAGTGCTCTTATTATAAACAAGAATGTAAGACATGGTGCATACAACATTTATTAATAATATTCAGTCTTTTTCTTTTGAAGGTTTGTTTGTTGGGAATTCAAGGTTTTTTTTTGGAGATTCGAGACTTTTCATATATTAGAATGACTTTTCATATACTAGAATGAAATCTAGATTCTTTGTATATTCCAATGCGTAAAAAAATTTGGTATGTCACAATAGAACTCATGACATGATTTTATTTAAGGGAAATTTTTCAATAGATTTTCATAATGTCAATTTTTTTGATAATTAAATGTCCGGAGACAACTTACGCGTATCTCAACTAATACTAGGAAATAGTCTAAATTTTATAAAATATTTTTTAACCAATTAAATCTCACGCTGGCCCAATATTAATGTCGTTCTCTTTTTAAAATGTGAGATGCATCTGCGTAACAACCAAATGGAGGTCTCAAAAGGGTACTTTTTTGTTTTATGATAACTTTAAAATTTCACATCTTTCTTTCTATATACATTTTTCATAAAATTTATATTTTTGGAACCTATTAGAGAACTTCCATCAAACAAAACAAAAAAACTGAGATGTTTTGTAATATAAATTGCGAAATTTGTAGTTTTTAAAAATTTGAGAAACTTCACAATAAAAACTGTGAAATTTATAGTTTTTAAGAAATTGATAAATTTCTCAATTTTCATAAATATTTAAAGTTTGTCGAGGATAGAAATTATGAAATTTTGTTGTGTTTAAAAATTCTCAATTTTCATAAATTTCACAGTTTTTGTGCAGAAATTGTGAAATTTCATAGTTTCTCAAGTACATAAATTGTAACATTATTTGCTTAAGAAATTGAGAAAAATTGTTTGTACATGATTTAAATTGCATGTTGTACACCTTCTTAAAATAAAAGTTGGAATGTGTATAAGTTTTTTATTTATTTTTTATCTCTGTTTTCTGCATTGATGTATCAATGAATTTTAATTTGCTTCCCAAAAAATAAAAAAATAATAATAGCAAGCCACAATCCAAAGGGATACCAACTACCCACCAGCCCTAATCAACAGCTGTCCTATGTCTTTTTTACACGGGTCCCCCCCAAGGGATAATAATAGCAAGCCACAAAAAATAAAAAAATAATAATAGCAAGCCACAATCCAAAGGGATACTAACTACCCACCAGCCCTAATCAACAGCTGTCCTAAGTCTTTTTTACGGGTCCCCCCAGGGTTAATAATAGCAAGCCACAAAAAATAAAAAAATAATAATAGCAAGTCACAATCCAAAGGGATACCAACTACCCACTAGCCCTAATCAACAGCTGTCCTAGGTCTTTTTTACGCCCCAAATTTCTTTACTCCACGATTGAACCATAAATTTAAACCAAATCAAATCTATTAATTCTTACTCACAACGAATTATTATTCTATCTCTTTATTTATTTTATTTTCCGACAATAAAGGAGATAATAATCATAGTCAACACAACCAATGATTCTCCTAAACATGTTTCTTTTCTTTCTTTTTTTTTTTGAATGTTTAAATAACAGAAAGAAGATGCAAAAGAACAAAACAAAAGATGATCACAAGAGGTCACTAAGCATTTCTAAAAATTATTTCAAATAAATAAGTACATTTCAGGAGATATATATGTGAGATCTCCATCTTTAGACTATACATTAAACACCTACTGAAAATTAAATTAAATGCTTTATCATCATTATTAGATTTTATATGCTCTTGCACAAGATTTCCGTCTCATGAAGTTCATTATGTCATGGCAAACTTTTTTTTTTATTTTTTTTTATCAGCGAAAAAAACATTTTAAAAAAAATACGAGTTCAAAAAATAAACATCTTTGAAAGCAAGAATACTAAACCCCTGAAAAGCTTCTTAAGTATTCTTAAGTTGTGAATGCAATTTTTTTTATGTAAGCGCCAATGCTAGATCTACGATAATTTTTTGGCCAAAAAATCAGCTTATTCTCACTAAAGCATTTCTAATTTATTTAGGCCAACCGGGGAATCAGTTGATTGCTAATTTTCTGTATTTTAAATAGTTTAACTAATTTTTAGGTACCTTTTAATATATTTGACAAGGTGGTTTGTTTTTTGAATACAAGTATATCTCTTGCATTTTTCTTGATCCCCTAATCTTGTCCAGCATTATGCAATTCTGGTTTGGATCGACAAATTGTTGTATATTATATTATATTATATATAGTATACAGGGTTCTTGATATTAACTTTATTGTCACATCGTTTTTGTTTTTAAATTACCCTTATTCTGTAAGGGCTTGTTTGTCAGTAATTACTGAATTCAAATATACTTCTGGGTTTGTAATTGTTGATCTGTAATTATAGGTTAACGATCGGACAAACTTTCAGTGGTTCCAAGGTTTATGATGTTTAGCATTCATGAGATTCGAACCTGTAATCTCTTGGGTGGCAACCTTTTGGTTACCTTCTCCTCACACTAAGCCAAGCCTCTTGGTTGCCTTCTGGTTATGTTATATGTGCACATAGGATATAAATAGGAAAAAAAAAAAAAAAAAAAAAACTCATAACCATGACATACAAACTACCTTCCTATTGATTAAAATAGCATATTATGAAGTGGGAAATTTTTATAATAAAGTAGTGAACAAGAAAAAAAAAAAAAAAAAAAAAAGATGACAAAATGTGCACGCAAAGAGTTACTTACCGATTTAAGCAACCCAAAGTCGACCCAATTAGTCAATCTTACGAGCTAACTTCATCTCCTTCGAAATATATCAGTGTCCAGCATTTGTTGACTAACAAAGTATCACATAAAGGCCAAATTAGCAGATCAAAAATAGAATATTGCTCACACTAGACGAAAAATTTATACAAACTTTTTATTCTGATATGTAAACGAGTGTAATTTTTAGACAAGTAATCAAATATGAATAATTGAAAATGATTACCGTGTCACTATAGATATCAGTTTTGTTTTTTGAAATTGGACAGGAAGACACTGAGATAGTAACTTGAAATGAGTATAGAAGCGTACTCTTCTCAATAGGTGTATATATATAAGAAAAGAGAGTCAAGGAAGTTCATATATCATGTCAATGCTAGGGAAAATAAAATAAAACAATAACTAGTAAACAATAAGATGCAGTTGCTTAATTATAGTATTTTTAACCAAGCTAATGGAGAAACGCAGCAAAGAAATTGTGCACATGTTGAATCGGTTATAATAATTTTTTTTTTATTTTATGCCGAAATCAAATTTTGATTCTTTCAAACATGCCACTTAGCGACCTTTGGAGTTGCTTAAAATTCTTCACACACCATAAACATGTAATATTAATTGATTTTTGATTTTGGTATTCTCACCCTCAGATTTGAAGGTTCTCATCATATGGCTGACCGGTCCTCCATGCTATTTTCTTGAGCAGACCCTAATGCTCACTTTTTGGAATAACCTTGTTAGGCTAGGTTACACCTACTATAGGGTTATGTTGATAATTTTAATTTAATTTTAATTAGTGGGGGTAATAGAATAATTGTATTTGTGATACAATGTGGAGGTGTTATTGTAATCTCCACTTAGAAATAAACTAATCTCTACTAATTTGCTTGCACATCGAAAAGCTCTCTCTTCTTTTCGAAATGTGGTCAAATATAATTTCAACCCAACAAAACTCATCCCATAGTTCCTACTTTTAAGTCCTTAATCATTTTTTTTTCTCTATTAGTCATAAGTAACATGTGCGAAATTTACAAAAATGACGTTTCCGGCGTAATTTAACTTAGTTTACATTTTATTATAAATAAAAAAAGGTTCTGGATACTATAAAAATGCGCACGAGGAATTTTATTTATTGTCTAATAATAAAACAGAAAATGGATGGCTCAAAAATTGGAATAATCCCTAGGAATATTTTAATAAAGTAGCCACAAGTTGGAGATGGAGTGTTCTAGATATGTTTAGTGTTTTTGATTTGGTTGTTAAAAATCCAGTAAATTACAAAATGCAATCAAGCCTAATAAAATGTTTTATGTCTTCAAGAACGCGTGATTAAATAGTTATATGAATAAATAATTCTTGATTATTCTCACCAGTGGATTAGGTTTGGCAAATGTATTATTCAATGTTTGATCACAAAAAAAAAAAAAAATTAAAAATTAAAAATTGAAAAAAAAAAAATAAGAGAAAGGGTTTCTAGGATACGAGGAGAAGTAACAATCTTGAGTTCATTAATTTTAATTTTAGTTTGAAATGCTTAGTTAATTTTAGTTTTAGTTAGTCAAGCAGTGTAAGAGAAAGGGAAAATGTTAATTGAAGTAATGTTGTTGTTTTTTATTTTATTTTTTGTCTTTTTCCTTCATAAATTTCTTCACAAATTCAGAAGTTCAGTTTCCAACACCAAATGTTTTTTTCATCGTTTGCATGAATTTTCATAATTCATTTTTTATTTAAAGATAATTACTAAAAATGATAAATACATATAATATTTTACTATGTATCCAATTTGATAATATAAAATGATAAGAAAAAAAAAATCAATGATATATGAAATGCTATGGTGGGAGACTTGAATGGTTCCATTCAATAAGGCTTTTTAACATTAAAATGGCTTTATCTGAACTAATAAAATGGCTTTTACATTAGATTGGTCCCCCTCATTTCTACTCTAACCACTAATTAAATTTAAAGCCAGTGCACCATATAAGAAGTGACAAAATAAAACCTCCTAATTTTTTTTTGATCAGTAAAAAAAAAAGAAAAATTATTAATAAAAATACAATGTACAAACACCGAGACACCTTCTGTTTTTGATTTATATTGGTTGTAAATTGATTCGAAGTTATCCAAATCATATGGTATATATGGTTTTTTAAGGGTAAAGTTTGGTTCAAATTCTAAAAATAAATAAATAAGAGTCATTGATTATAGTTCGATTCATGAATTAGGACAAAAAAGAACTAAATAAAATGGAATCAAATCATTAGATGTTTTTATTAATTTAATAAAAAAAATGATTTATAAACTTATTTTCTAGATAACATTTTATTGTTGTGTCTCCTTTTTTAAAGACAACACCAAATAACTTCTCCAAAATGATTAAGGACAAGCAGAGACAAAATAAGTTGGGTGATTATTGGAAAGCCCAGAAGTACGGTTACGTAGTGCTTCATGGTATTATAATTGATGGAGAGAGTGGGGTACTATGATTTTGTGTTGGATGATTGAAAAACATGAGAGGGCATGATAAATGATGATTAGTGAAGGAGTATGTACACGTGGTAATTTAGAAATATTTAATAATTTTCCAAATAAGTCATTGTTTTTATTGCATAAGAATAACAATACTACAAATTCAATATATATATATATATTTAGAAAAGTGTTTAGAAAATCACATTTATGAATTACAATCATTTTAGATGGGATTTATATCATACTAACTTTAAATTTATATCATCATATAACTCATTTCGAAATAAATTTCGAGATATGTATTCATAATCCATAGCATTTTTGTTAGAAGGATTTTGTTTTCTTCTTTTTTTGGTTAGTGCTTGCTGGGGCCAAGGTTATGTTCTACACTGCTTTTTAAGATGAAATTATAGCCATGCATGCAAAAATAATTTTGGCATCACACACTTTTCATATTGAAATGTGTATCATGACAGGAAATTTCTTAAAGAGATTAATCAAATAAATCTTTCATTGAAAGTGATATGTTTTTTGTTTTTGTTTTGTTGAGTAATGGTGTGAAATTCATTCATAGAAAGCAACAAGATACAACAGGTAGCAAATGCCAATTTATTTATTTATTATTTTTTTAGATGACAACAGCAAATGCAAGGTTAGAGGATAAGAGTATCTTTAATGCAAAAAAATTAAATAGACAGTCATAATCAAATTTTGAAAATATTACAGTGTGAAAATATTAAATTTTAGTAATGTTGTTTTAATGGTGCATTAATCATTTTTTATATTTTCTTCACAAAAAAATCTAATTAAAATGTCATTTGTGAGCTCTAGCCAAAATTTAGCATTTTGAGGTTCACAATGTCAATTTTTGACAACCCTTTTAACATGCCATTTAGATTTGCTTTTTGGGTGAAGTTGCTATGATTTCACAATAGCAACCACTGCAGGGGGTGTTATGCCAATAAGGGGGTTTCATTTTGAACATTTTTAATAATTTAAATCATTCATATTATAAATTTTGTTGGGAAGATTATCTAGATAAAAAAAATTAAATTAATCGAACATAGATAAATACATGTTTTGATCAGATTTGTCTTGAAAAATATGGACTAAATTTGTGATTTTAATAATAAAATATTTGTATTAAAAAAATCAATTATTTAATTATTGATATTAAATTAACCTAATAATTTTTTATATGAATAATCTTCTCGACAGATTTATAGTATAAATGGTTGGTTCATATGGTTGGAATAGACTTGAGCTGCCTACTAAGCGGCACAACACCCGTATGGTGCCTTCTAGGCACGACATAGATGAGACTAGAGATGGGATTAAAGGTGTTCCAAAAAAAAAAATGGAAATATTTTGGCCGGGTCAAGGTGGGGCTCCAAAGGAAAATGCGAGGGCTACTAGCAACAATCTTATAAAAATAAAAATAAAAATTAAAAATTTATTGCATATCGATAATGTTCTACTTGATAATGTCATTTGGTATCATCTACCAATCACAAGTTACTGCTATGGATATTTGTCTTGAAATGACTTGAAAACAGGAATGGTTCTCTTTAGTCCACTACGTAGATTTGTGAGAATTGTTGAATTTGTAGTGCTTATCACGGGTTTCAATTTAGTTATTTAAATTACTTAGTTTGCAAGACTCTATGCATTAAAAGAAAAAATATATATATAATAATTGTAACCATATAAATTTATTATATTTTTCTTCAAATAAAATGAATAGTCTAAACCATACTTCTTACTTATATTTTTATTAAAAGTACAATGAATTCATATGACTACACTTATGAGATCAATTGAATTATTTTCATAAATTATCAACACATAAAAATCTAAAAATCAACCGACTTAACTTATTAAAATAAGAATCATAATGCGCTATCAACTCAAACAACACCCCACTTCAAAAAATGAACCATAGAAAATCCTTTTTCATGACTCATAATTGGAATTAAACTACTAAAGTGAATTTTAACACTAGCTTGGTCCCAATCATTTCAATTCTAAGTAATAATTTCAAAATTTTCCATGTTCGCCACATACAAATAGGGCAAAACAATAAAGGAATAAAATTTACATTTGATTTGCATATTTGGCCCTACCTTTGATCAAAAGCTGAGAGAGGATTGAGACATGGAAAAGCTTGGACCCCAAGAAAAAAGAATAATTCGAGGTACTCATCCTTAACTTTCCTGAATTTATCCAAATGATATTGTATGGTTGTGATTGAATTTGTGTGGTGTAAGCTCTATATGTAGAATAAATCTAAATTACAAGATGAAGATTTTGAGTAATTTTCTGAATTTACCTCCAATGATACCGTGTGGTTGTGATTGAATTTGTATGGTGTAGGGTTTATATGTAGAATAAATTTGAATCACAAGATGAAGATTCTGATTAATTTCCGAATTGATAAGGTAGGTTGGTAATATTACTCAAGAAAAAAGACAAAAGACTAAAACAAATCACTATTGTTTTGTCCATGGTGTCCCCTGCAAAGATTATAGTTTTGATATGAAATTTAAAATTGAATTTGAGAGATTTATTTTGATAGATTATGACCAATTTGAAATAATAATATAAAAATAATTATTTTAAATTGTTTTACTAAGAATTATATCTATACAAAGATTATATTAAAATATTTCTATTCTTACTCTACCTATTTTCCTTTTAAAATTTTGGGAAAATAACGGTGGGGGGGATAGAAAAAAAAAATAATTACAAATAAATAACAAACATTATAAATATTAATGATTAAAATTATAATATTTTTATTTATGTGTAATTAATTTTTTCTGATATCACTATGCAATAATTGACCCTAAAATTTTCAATCTATATATCATAATCAATCTTTTCATATTTTATTTTCACTCGAATTACTTTATTTAAAAATTTACCTAAGGTGTTGTTACTTGCTCCTATTTTTTTTTCCCCCTTGGATAAGGATATAAATCTGTCTCGGCCCCGGCCCGGCCCATGTCAGGCCTCGTGGACTCCCACCAAAATTTAGGTCGGGCCAAGCTGGCCCACGGACTAAAAAAATTAGGCTCATGCCCAAGTCCAAGAGTATTCGGGGCCCGTCTCGATGGGCCTAGGCCTGGGCCTGGCCTTGGGCTTGGGCAGGCCTGACCATTTTTTTTTTTATTTTTTTTTATTTTTTCTACTAAAATTTTATTATTTTCCACTAAAAAAGACATTTAGCTTGCTTGATTGTGTTTTTTTAAAAACACTTTTTAGAAAATTCTACTTTCTTGTTTTTCATATTTTTTTGTTTTTACTGAATTTTTTTAATATTTTAAGCAAATTTTTTTTTACTTTTTAGACATACCTAACATAAATATACCTAAAAAATAAAAAAAAAATTGTGAAAAAAACCTTTTAAAAATTCACTAAATACCAAAAATACACAAAAATATATATATGAGAATTCAATACATTTTTTGTATTTTTATGTATTTATTAAATTTTTAAAATATTTTTTCACAAATTTTTTACTTTTTAGATATATCTAAGTAAGGTGCATCTAAAAAAGTAAAAAAAAATGTTTAAAATTTTAAAAATATTCACTAAAAACAAAAAAACACGAAAACCAAAAAATTGAGTTTTCAAAAAACTCAAACCAAACACACTGATTGGGTTTCGGCCAGGCCAGGTTTCGAGTCGGGCCTTGAATGGGCCTTAAGCGGGCCGATGGGCCAAGTTGGGTTTCAAAATAATGGCCCAAGCCCAAGGGCCTAAACGGGTCGGGCCCATTCCAGGCCGCGGGTGGGCTTCGGACCACCCACGGGTAACGGGCCATTTTTACACTCTTACCCTTGGAGCTCTGACTTTTGGAAGATTATGTGGACACTAATGAAATTTCTTATATATATATATATTTTATATATTGTAACACTTGCAAGATATCAAGAAAGACTTATACACACAAGTGTAAAGAGATATTAATGTGGTGCAATTAGAAGTTCTTTCAATTTTTACTTTTTTTTTTTTTTATTAAAAAACTAGATATGTAGATAGATTACTCCACATACCCGTCAGAGAGTATTGTCTCTTAGCACTTACAACGCATCTGTAAGAAACTCCACTACATCTATGTTGGAGTCAAAACTAAAGCCCCCATCATGCTCTGGGTACTAAGAAGTATGTTTAATCCCAATAAAGTGCTATAGGGATTCGAACTCAAATTTTGAGTGATAAATTCGAAAGCCTTACCACTAAACTAACCCTTGTTGATATAAAATTTCAACTCTATATCCCATCTAACTCTACACAACCCCAACCACTACTTCATTCACCTTAGCACCTTCTTCACCCTCCACTACTAAAAATCGAACTTTTTGCGATGGTCTCAAATGTCGCAAAATGTTCATATATCGTCGCAAAAGACTTTTTGCAAAGGAGTAGCGATGGGAAATGGGGGTGGCAAAAGTAAGCGTGACAAAAAGTATTTACGACGGTTACAAACCGTCACGTTCTTGGAGCAACGGCTAATCAATAGTTTTTGCGACGGTTTAACTCGACATAAAAAAAGGGAAAAAAATTTCACTTTAGTGACGATGTTGGTTGCCATCGCCAAAACTTTTTTAGCTACGGTATTTTACGTCGCGAAAAGTATTATTAGCGACGGTCTAAAATGTCACAAAAAAAGTAGAATTAAATTAATATCATATTTGCGACAATTTAAACTGTCGCGAAAAGTATTATTAGAAACGATCTAAAACGTCGCAAAAAAATAAAATTAAATCAATACCATATTTGCGACAGTTTAAACCGTCGCTAAAGATTTGAACTAATATGTATATGCTACAGGTTAATCCGTTGCTAATAAAATGTAAGGAAATGATGATTACATTAGTGACGGTTATTATTGTCGCAATAAAATTATTTTTATAAAATCAACATATATTTTATTAATTCATTCCCTGTATAAATTATTAATATTTTTTAAAATAAAATGCATCCACATCCACATCTACATCTATACACATCCACATTCACATTCTCAAAATCATGCGTATATATGCACCTTGTAACAATTATCAACCAAATATTCTTTACAAAAATATATAAAACATTCTCCAGCAATACTAATAATTTTTTATATTCAAGAACTTAAATTTTTGTATCTAAAGCAAAACAAAAGTATCGACAATGCAAATAAAAAAACATATATATTATAGTTTGTTTTAATATCAATAGTAAGCTCAAATATCGATATGCGAAGATATCATCACGTACTCAAAAGGGGTTGCATCTACAAAAAGAAACACAAAAAAGACATCATTTACAATATAATTAATTTCAAGCTTACAGAAAATATAAAACATTTGATATTTATTTCAAAAATTAAATAAATACAAAAAAGATTGTAAACTGCAACGGATCGTCACTAATAAGAAGTCCCTCTGCCAATTGGACTATTGGTATACGCGAACTATCCAAAGAAACTTTAATTACAACCTACAATGATGATAATACTATTAAAATCAGGTAGTGATTGAATACATTGTGCTATAATCTAACAATAATCGAATAAACACAAAAGATGAAAAGAGTTTGCAAAAAACAAGTGTTCATAAACAGAAATTAGGCTCTAGATTCAAAATCGGAAACCAGTTTCGAGTTCCGTCTTTTCATACAAGTCATTTGTGCCTAGTTAGTCGTGTGTGTCAAGCTTCGTTGACATCGGATGCCGTGTGAGCATTTTAGTGAGTTAACCGGTTCGAAAAAGAGTTTTTAAAGAACAAGTTTTCATAAACGGAGATTAGGCTCTAGATTCAAAACCGAGAATCGGTTTTGAGTTTTATTTTCTCTTATAAATCATTTGTGCCTAATTAGTTGTGTGTGTCAAGTTTCATTGACATCGGACGCCGTGTGAGCATTTTAGTGAGTAAACCAGTTTGAAAAAGAGTTTTTAAAAAACAAGTTTTCATAAACGGAAATTAGACTCTAGATTCAAAACCGAGAAATGGTTTCGAGTTCCGTCTTCTCCTACAAGTCATTTGTGCCTACTTAGTCGTGTGTGTCAAGTTTCATTGACATCGGACACCGTTTGACCATTTTAGTGAGTCAACCGGTTCGAAAAAGAGTTTCTAAAGAACAAGTTTTCATAAATGGAAATTAGGCTCTGGATTCAAAATGAGAATCGATTTCGAGTTTTGTCTTCTCCTACAAGTCACTTGTACCTAGTATGTTGTGTGAGTCAAGTTTTGTTGACATTCGAGCCCATTTGAGCACTTTAGTATGTCAACCGGTTCGAAAAAGAGTTTGTAAGGAATAAGTTTTCATGAATGGAAATTAGACTCTATATTGAAAACCGGGAATCGGTTTCAAGTCCCGTCTTCTCCTACAAGTCATTTGTACCTAGTATGTTGTGTATGCCAAGTTTCGTTGACATCCGACCCCGTTTGCCCATTTTAGTGAGTCAACCGGTTCGGAAAAAGAGTTTGTAAAGAAGAAGTTTTCATAAACGAAAATTAGGCTCTAGATTCAAAACCGGGAATTGGTTTTGAGTTCCGTCTTCTCCTACAAGTCACTTGTGCCTAGTATGTTGTATGTGTCAAGATTTGTTGACATCCGAGCCCGTTTGAGCATTTTAATGTGTCAACCGGTTTGAAAAAAAAGTTCGTAAGGAATAAGTTTTCATAAACGGAAATTAGACTCTAGATTCAAAATCGGGAATCAGTTTTGAGTCCCGTCTTCTCCTACAAGTCACTTGTGTATAGTATGTTGTGTGTGTCAAGTTTCGTTGACATCCGAGTCTGTTTGACCATTTTAGTGAGTCAACTGGTTTGGAAAAAAAGTTTGTAAAGAAGAAGTTTTCATAAACAAATTAGGCTCTAGATTCAAACCAGAGAATCGGTTTCAAGTCCCTTTTTCTCCTACAAGTCATTTGTGCCTAGATCGTCATGTGTATCAAGTTTTGTTGACATTCGATGCTATTTGATCAGTTTAGTGAGTCAACCAGCTTGGAAAAAAATTTACTAAATGACAAGTTTTCACAAACGACAAGTATTCAAGTGTTTGAAAGATTACCTCATCATCTGGTGGTGGTGTATGTGGGTTCTCATCGGTCTCATAATCTGTAGATTCACGGTGGCCACTCAATGCATTCGGTACCTTTGATATTCATGGTATTCTTTGTTAATTGTATTTATATTCAATGATAAAATTACTGAAGTTTGCTAAAGTTTACTAAAGTTTAGCAACTCTTCATTAAGAATTGTTGTCTAGCTCATTAGCTAACAATTATACTTATTTTAAGAATTCCAACACTTCATTAAGAACATAAAATAAAATACATGTATAGACAAAAACACAGTACTTGCTCAGTAAGCATAGCAAAAGTGTTGCCATCCGACTCCAAAAGGATCAGCACAGCTACTGCTGGCCCATGTGCAAACACAATACCTGGAACCTAAGCATGCTTAAATTCAGTTGAAAAAAGAAAGAACATAAAATTTCAAATTTCAAAAAAAGGACTAGGGCATGATCCAAATTCAGATGCAAAACACTGAGATGCTAAATCAAATAAATCCAAAGAAGGAAACCATATGGCTGATGAAATACCTTCTTTCCTGTTGCCTTATCAACCACATCTGCATTGAACTTAACAAAGCCAACACACTTGCCAAACATATCGAACCCCTGTTACCAATAAGAGGAGAAGTAGTACAAGAACAAGAATGAGAGGATGTTATCAGTAAGAACCCTTGCTTCAATATGTAAGCCAATCAGTTTTTGAATAAACCCAACAAAAAAGAAAATCTTTTATTTTTGATGTTACATTATATATACACATAATACAAAGCTCTCCCAGAGGCACTCCCAACCTAGCAGTGCACCATGACGGTGTGGTTCCATCCCAGCCACCGGTCCCCACTTCATGTAACTAAGAGCCACACCCTTTATAAACCCCATCTTTCATTGTGCATTCATCAAGTATAGAAAAATAGTTGAATTGTGAAATCAAAGTACTTGGTTCATGCACTGCAGTATTACACTTAGTTCCCTTACCCTTCTTTGTGTATAGATTTCTTCACTCATTTGATGGTCCATCATTTTCCCACTTGAAACCTCTTCTTTCCTTTTTTCCATTTTCTTGCAATTTTCCAACAATCTCACAGATGGATTAACATTCCTTGGAAAAGATGGGCTGTTACAATCACATACATAATTTAAATGTACGAAGTGTCCTCATATATATGTAGTGGACACATACGAGGGTAAGATGTGTCCTCATATATTGCATATTAGTCAAGAATATACAATATATAAGTGTTTAAGACGTGTCCTCATACCCATACCCAACTTTTGGATGCATATCCCAATATCCTAAGATTTAATAAGATCTGATGCTTGAATACGCACCCGCACCCAACAGTCATAACCATGTCCATGTAACATTAGGTGATGGCTGGTGCTTGATGGTTGACTTGGAAGAGATAAATTGGTTTAACAAATGTAACCAAGCTTTGGGATCATCCAACTGGTCGATTTAGAATTTATAAACCCAAAATATTAAAAAGATTTTTAGATGGAGCAACTTGTGCACAACCTAAATTATAGGGGAGATCAATTCTCTACAGGCCAGGATCACTTATTTATAATATTCACACCAAATCAATGCTTGGTATTGTCATTTTGCTTTCTATGAATAATGTCGCAAAAATCCCTAAAGTCTACTCTGTTCAATACAAGGTTAAACATGCAACCTCCTGGGATGAACATCACTGTGAAGTCATTCACGTATATCAGAGTTACATCTGAGATAATATAGTCCGTAATAGTGTAGATAAGAAGGCTGGCCACATTATGAGCTTAAAACTATTATTTTGGAAAGATTTGCTGAAAAATCCAATTTAATACTAGATTTCTTGTCTAAGAAAGGCAAGTAGAAAACCCTAAGCTAAACGGTACCTCCTTATCAGCTCCAGTTAATGATATCGTAGAGATTTTTTTCGAGAGATTCTCCGGAGCCTTCTCCTCCTCTAATTCCTGTTGCATGTTCTATGCAGCTGTTAGACCTGCTGTCATCATATAACATCTTCAATTTCTTGATCATTACCTGTAGCAGGAAAGGGGAAAATGTGAGAAATCATGTTATTACATGTTTTTGGGTCACCAATCTTAAGCCAAAGTCTATAAGCGTCAGCAAACTGATGGTCCTTTAAGAAAATAATGAATTAGTGATAGTGAAGAACCATAGCAAATTATACTAACTGAATAATTAAAGCCAAAAGGAAAGTTCTTTCTAATATGAACTTGAGAGAAGGATTCCCAATGTCTCAATCATAGGACATCAGTAACATCATCACTTCATGCAGCTGCATATAAGTTCTATACAGTTTTATGAATATACTCCAAAGAAAAGTAGTAAACGAAAACCAAAACAATAACCAAAACCAAAATATATATACCTGATCAGCAGTAGTCAGACTTTTAAATTTTTTAAGGGCATCATTAGCTAGAGAATGGGCACGGCAGTACAATGCATATGCTTCTGTCCTCTTTCCAGCCAAACTGTAGGATGTAGCTAAGTAAAAGCACCTGAGAACAGGGTAAATTTTCAATTAATGAGCTAGAAAAAAAGGGTAAATTTTCACTAAAATGTTAAATAGAAGTAGCATTCACCCTATCAGTTTTGTTTAAACTTGTTACCAGAAAAGAAAACTGTAGAAAACAATGATCATCAATGTGCATTATCATGACTGTTAAGATGATAATCCAGAAAAGATCAGAGAACTGCATAGTGAAACATCTTTCAAATGGTCAATGAAATTTAACTGTTATTGAAATGTTGCCTTTCTATGTGATTTATTCATTTACAAGTGATATTTGAATTGTAACCCTATGTGTTATGCATAGTCCTACACATGAAGAACGTGAAAAAATATTGTTGAATATTTTATTAGAATAACAAAATCCAACAGCAGTGGACAGCATGAAGCCACAGTATTCTTCAAACAGGGGTGGAAGGGTAATGTGCCACTCGACTCCAAAACCATCAGTGTGTAAAAGTGCTTCCACATATGATAAATGTCAAGACAAACAAAATGACCTCCCACGAAACATACTGAAAACAGAAATCAGTAAAAGATAATTCTCATCTCTCAGTATTTAAAATTTAAGCCATAAATATGCAAATATTAAGTTTTATACAACCTATATAGCTCTGGGTGCGATATGGAATCAAGCCAAAAAAATCATGTCCAGTCAGAGATTAAAATATCAATTATTAGAGTAAATCAAAAAGCTTTCTGAACAATACACCACAAAACTGATTGGTTTTCTAAAATTCAGACATCAATAAATATTCTAGAGTAAACCACACAAGGTTTTTACATTTCCACTTTCCTTATTTTTTTGTTTGGTAGGAAAGTAAGAGACCGATGTGGCAGAAAACTAACAAATGCATTGAGGGTATTTACCTTCTGGAAATGTTTGAAAGTCATGAGACAGATGAGGAATCATCTCCATTAGTTTCTTAACTCTCTTGGGCAATTTCCATATTTGACGAATCAAAGGCTTTGTATTTGATGAGACTTCGTCGATACTAGCAGTAATGATGTCTGGTTACAGAAATAGCTAGTTAATTCTCTCCGCCCAACTGATATAAAAGGTAATCTTGTGGTAAATCAAGAAAAGGAACTTTCGTATCAAGTACAGCAATCTAATAAATGTTCACACATCCTGTCACCAGAAATAATTGATAACAATAATCTAAAATCAGTAACAGAATTATGTGTCTTCTCTCTCTCAAAATCAAACTTGAGTACGTTTTGCATGGAATTGAATTAATTGATTCCTTACCCCAGTGAGTTTAACAAGTGCTAAGTACATATAAATCCCATGTGATTCCATTATATTTTCTTAAATTTTTCTGGTTTAGCAGAAATTGAAGAACAGAAAAGATACTTTTTTTTTTTTAACTAGAGCTTATGCTAAACATCAACTACACAATACATTAATTAAATATATTCTTAATTAAAATAATTCAATCAATTGAACCAGTGAGGAGAGCAGAAGAGAAGACAGTCGAGGAGACCAGAGGAAAACTATACCTGAATGTCAGAGGGAGAACCGGTGACGAAGTCGCTGCTGCTACAGACAATCTGTGAGGGTAACGCGAAGAGATTGTCAGGGTCTGAGTGAGCGAGAGCGAGAGCGAGAGGAAAGAAGAAGAGATGAGGATTACTTGGACGAGCCCACGCTGGTGTTGTTGCCGCGACGAGAGAGAGAGAGAGAGTGTGACGATCGACTGGGCGCGAGAAAGGCTCTGTTTAGTAGAACTTATTTGTAACTTATTTACTTTTAATTTAATTTAAGTTATTTTGATGTGTTTGATTCAGTTTAAGAATATAGTTTATAATTTTTTGTAAGTTAAAAATCAATTTATTCTTTGAGTAGAGAGGAGAAGTTTAATTTATAAGTCAAAAATTAGATTATATTCACAGATATAAACTATAAGCTGTTAGGTTATAAGTTATAATCACTTTCTCACGGCTCAACCAGAGCCAAGAGACAGTGAGATTAGGGCAGAAGATTGAAGGGGTTTTTTTTTTTTTATACTAAGAGAATACATAAAGTTTGGGAAAAGGGAAGGGGGGCGAATTTAGGGATTACGATTTGTGACGATGTTGAGGACCATCAAAATAAAACATTTTGCGATTTTTGTAAGTTAAAAATCAACTTATTCTTTGAGTGGAGAGGAGGAGAAGCTTAATTTATAAGTCAAAAATTAGATTATATTCACAGATATAAACTATAAGCTGTTAGGTTATAAGTTATGATCACTTTCTCACGGCTCTACCAGAGAGCCAAGAGACAGTGAGATTAGGGCAGAAGATTGAAGGGGTTTTTTTTTTTTTATACTAAGAGAATACATAAAGTTTGGGAAAAGGGAAGGGGGGCGAATTTAGGGATTACGATTTGTGACGATGTTGAGGACCATCAAAATAAAACATTTTGCGACAATTAAATAACTGTCACAAAAAATCTTACTTTTTGCCACGGGCTTATAATTTTTGTCGCAAAAAAAAAAGATTTTCGCCACGGTTTATTTTCCGTCGCATATAATCTTACTTTTTGCCATGGTATTAGATTTTCTATCACAAAAAAAATCTACTTGCCACGATTTTATTTGCTGTCACAAAAATCAACCTTTTGCGACAAGTTTTAAACCGTCGCAAAAGCTTCCATGTCATATACCCTTTTTCTAGTAGTGGTCCCTGCTACCTCCCAGCCCCTTCTCACCCTTCCTCGCCGTACCCCACTCCCACGACCCTCCACTCTCTCGCATACTTTTAATATAATTTATCTAATTAATTATTTTTGTGGGATCCATAAAGAAATAAAGGCTGTTAGCAACCTTTTATCCTTTTTTTATTTATTTATCAGAACTACCAACCCTTTATCTAGGGAGTAATATTAGGGATATCAAAATTTCTTCTAAATGTCTAATATGTGTAGGTTCCATATAAGTGTGGGGTCCACATGACATTTGGTAAAATATTTAATAGAAATTTTGGGACCTCTAACATGATCTGGGTGCTTCTATTTACATTACAGTATTATTTTATTAGACTTTTCATTTTAAATATTTTTTATTTCAATATTACCCCTCTTAAAACTACCTTTAAGGATTAAAAACATAAAAAAATTTAATTAGTGTATTTGGTTTCAATTTTCTAAATTTAATTTTTTAAAAATTGAGGGTTTTTTTTTCATTTTTTATTTTTTATTTTTAGTGAATATTTTTTAAATTTTAAGTAATTTTTTTTTATTTTTTTAGATGTACCATACTTAAATGTATCTAAATAGTAAAATATTTGTGAAAAAATATTTTAAAAAATTAATAAATACACAAAAATACGAAAAATGTATTGAATTTTTTTTTTGTTGTTGTATTTTTTGGTATTTTTAGTGTATTTTTTAAAAAAAAATTTCACAAATATTATATTTTTTAAGTGTATTTATATTAGGTGTGTCCAAAAAAAAATTTAATTTTTTTTTAAAAATATTAAAAAAAATTCATTAAAAACATTAAAATACAGAAAATAAAAAAATAAAATTTTCTAAAAACTATTCTGAAAATCAAAACCAAACAAGCTAATAGAATTTATCTTTACTCCCATTCCATTTCTTCTCATTTTCAATAGCCACCACCCTTCTTCTCTACCAACCACCGCCACCCCTTCAACCCCACCAACCCCTGACATCCTCTCCTCTCTTCTCATTCTGCTCATTCTCTCTCTCAAAATCAAACTTGAGCAAGTTTTGCATGAAATTGAATTAATTGATTCCTCGCCCTAGTGAGTTTCACAAGTGCTAAATACATATAAATCCCATGGGATTTTATTATATTTTCTTAAAATTTTCTTGTTAGTTAAAACATACATATAATAATTGTAAATAGATTTTATATACAGATTTTGGTGTTTAGGGCTACTTGAGTATGATTTTTTTTTTATCATGTTGATGTATATATATATTGGTCTGAATTTTGTTCAGTTATGGTTCGTCGAACAAAATCAAACTACTCAACCTCTGAAAACTAGTTTTATCAATTTTCTCTATTTGATTGGCCAGAATTGAATAAAATTGATTTATTTGATCATTTATGGTTGAACAAACCATACAGCCAAACAAATCAAGTTTGTGCAGTTCTAGTTAACCGAATAAAGCTTGAACGTAGAAAAATAAATAAATCTAAAAAAAAAAAGAAGTCATCTTTCAGGCTAATACCATCCTTCTCTATAATAAGGAAAAAAGATGGAAAAGAGAGAGAAAGAGGGCTGAAATGAGAGAGGAAGAGAAGGGGTGTAAAAGATTTTTAAATTTTAAATTTATTTACGGGGTGTAATTAAAAATTATTGTAACCAGATAAAAACATGGCCTAAATGGAAGTAGTCATTTTCTTTATCCAAACAAAATCTTGTAATTCTCGAAACAATCTTATAAAGAAAATTTTATAATATTATTTGGTACCCTTCACTGATCACAAATAGTTGTCATGGACACGCCACCCCACCTAAAGCCACTACTTTTGAGTTGAGATAGATATTTGCAAAAATGTCAAAAAAAAAATATGAATGATGACGATAAAGTAAAGACTTTCTAGAGCAAATAATTTAAGAGAGATAAATATTATTTGGATTTGCTCATTGCGTGTTTCATTCTCGTTATTTGAATTATTTATTTAGTAAATTTTATGTATAAATTATCAATTAATTAAATTAAATTAATTTGATAATTATAATCACAAAAATTTATTATATTTGTTTTCAAATAAAATGAACAATTTAAGTCATGCATATTATCTTCTTTTTTTTATTACAAATATAATAAGATTATAGAACTATGATTATTGATCAATTTAATTTTTTTTATACATTGTTCACACAAAAATTTTAAAATTGAACCACTTAACTTGTAGCATCTTCAAGTTCAAACAATAAAGTAGAGATAATCCTTTCTCATAATGAAATTTAACTATTGAAGTGAGTTTTAACCCTAGATTGGTCCCACTCATTTCAATTCAAACCACACATAGATATTTTTAGATATTAAACCAACACAGAGAATGAGCAAAACAAAAAAGCAATAAAATCTTCATTTGATTTACATAATTACCCTACCTTTGATCAAAAGCAAAGAGAGGATTGTGATATGAAAAAGCTTGGACCCCAAGAAGAAAAAAAATTAAAAGAAGTCATTGTGGTTTTGTCCATGATGCCCCTAACTCTTTAGTTGTTGATAAAGTGTTTCCCTTTATGCTGTGTTTGGTTGGGGGATTTGAGGAGAGATTTAGAAAGGGAAATGGAAAAAGTAGGTGAAATGTGAATAAATCATGCCTATATTTCTCATAGTTTCACACACCTTTTCCTTTTCCCTTTCCAAATCCCTCTCCAAATCCTCCAACCAAACACAACATTAGTCATTTTCAAGTAATCACAGTTAAAGTTTATTAAAAAGCAACTTTTTATGTGATTAACATGGTCATCTCGTAATAGTCTATTTATCAACACTGATAAGAGACTGAGTCGACTTCCTTCCTATGGATAAGATAGAAGAGTTAGATTTCGTTTGGTTGGGACTAAAAAAACACAAAAATAAAATAGATTAAATAAGTCAATAAAATAAAATGTCATATCTAAATCATAATCATTTTATTTTTTCTTTTATAAAAGTCAAAAAAGTCAAAAAAAATTACCAAACAAGTTTTTTAGTCTCAAACTAAAAAAATTCTAACTCCAAAAAATCAACTAAATTTTTTGTTCCCAAACGACTACTTAGAAGTTTAACTTGATAGATGAGAAGTTGCCTTACAAATTGTGATACACGCGGCGTTGGCGTTGGCGTTGGCGTTCGGTTTTTTTTTTTTTTTTTTTTTTTTTTTTTTTTTTTTTTTTGCGCTATATAATTTCTCTTTTTATTTTTATTTGCTAAATTAAATCAAATCAAATTAAATTTTGTGTCATAATTAAATGGGTCGATTATATGAATAATTTTTTTGTCATTCTATTATGTCAAAGATTATACACTCAGTTAAATTAGATAAATTTATATTTTTTTAATTACTGCTTTCCATGTCACTTAAGATATTTCTCTCCCACTAATATTTTCATTTATGATAATCATTTTTTTTTTCCTTCTTATCATTATATCTATAGGTTTTCTTTATATATAAGCAAACCATGTTGGACTTCATTTGGTTGTGGTTAAAACCAGTTTATTAGCTAAAAAAATCAGTTTGCTAAAAGAATCTTGGTTTATTTGGCAGACTCATTTGTGCTGCGCCCAAAAAAAATCACTTTAGTCACTCTAAGAAAAAATAGAAATTTTTTAAAAATTAAAAATATATCAAACAAACTAACTTTCATAATATAAATATTATTGTGAGCTTATATTTTGCCAATAAGTTAGTTTATTCTTTCTCAACTTCAATTGGTGATACCTTTGTCATTTTACTAATATAGGGGTGTTTTGAAAAGTTGGTAAAAAGTTAGTTTTTGACTTTTTACCAAGCTTTTTAGTTTTTTGGAAAGTGATTTAGAAAATTAGTAAAAAGCTGGCTTTTTGCTTTTTAGTTTAATATTTATTTATGGCGTCAAATCAAATTAAAATGACCAAAATACCCTTACCCAACATAAGAAATTTATTTTTTTATTTTTTTTCCATAGGCCCTAATTTGTAATTTTACACTTGCGTTTTTGGCACTTCCCAAATCACATTTGTTGCGTTTTTGGCACTTACGTTTTTGGACATTTTGTTCAAAAATGTGACTTTTTATTTTGTTCAAAAAACGGCACATATTCCTTTTTTTCCTTGGACGTTTTCTAGTGTTATCATATATTTATCTATGCACTCTCTTTTCAATTATACTCATTTTACAAATGTGTTTTTTTTATCCAACATTTTGTCTCAAAAACATTGGGGAAATTACAACTCTGGTCAACTTTCAAAAATAATTACGTACACATGGAAAATTTTATAACTTTAATTATTAAAATTTAGAATAAACTACTAATAGGTCTTAATATTTGATCTAATTCCCATCAAGTCTTATGAAAAATAAGTATTAATAGAATCGTCGCTAAAAAGAATTTTTTGTGACAATTTTTTGCACATGTCTCTAAAAATTGACAATTAGTGACTTTTTTGTCACGATTTTTATAAATTTTTACTAAAACTTACAATTAGTGACATTTTTCTGTGACGAATTTTTCAAATTATCGCTAAAATTTAAAAATTAGTCACTTTTTTTATAATAATTTTTTTAAACTGTCACTAAAATTTATAATTAGTGACATTTTTTATAATAAAATTTTCAAGATGTCGTTGAAAATTAACAATTAGTGAATTTTTTTAATAGTTTTTGAAAAACGTCATTAATTATTATAGAACTTATTAGATAATAAATCTACTTATTATGACCTACACGTAAGTCCCCTAAAACTTATAAACTTTACTATCAACCTGAAATTTTATTTTCAACATTCAACTAAATTGTTATTTTTTCTAAACCATTGCTGCCATTATAACTACAACACTGCTGCAGGCCTCCAGTTGGGAACGACCCCCCACATAAACGTGGGGGGCAAAGAGTGGGAGAAAAAAAAAATTTTGTTAGACCAATCATCACCTACTGGGGATGCTGGGGTCTACCCAGCGCCCTAATTATATGGGGGGGTTCTCTCCATTTTCCCTTATAAAAGTATACTACGTGCAAAGAGTGGGAGAAAAAAAAAAAATTGTTAGACCAATCATCACCTACTGGGAATGGTTCAACAAATTTTTAAGCCTAATTATATTATAATGTCATTCATTTGGCATAAGTTAAAATGAGATTTTTTTTTTATTAAAATAGTCATAAAAAGACAAAATAGACTTTTTAGCCTAATAAGACAAAATCTCACATCCAAACTATAATTATTTTGTTTTGGGTAAATTACATTTACCTCCCCTGAGGTTTCTGACAAATACAGGGACCTCCCCTATGTTTTGAATAATTACAGTAACACCCCCTACTTTACCTGACAATGTCAAGATTCCCCCATTCCGTCTATTTTGCCCAAACGACGTTAGTATCCAATAGAAAATGACCATGTGACCCTTGCTTTTTCTTGCAAAAAGACCAAAAAGCCCTTTGTTCACAAAATCCCTAATCAATTCATTCACAATACAAATCGAATTGTTCAGAGAAAGAAAAGAGAGAGGGAGGCGATCGTCGTGAACCGATCGTCGATTGTGAAGAAGACGAAAAAGCTTGAGGTTTTGAACCGATCGTCGTTGCCAGTACACAATGTAAAAGAGTTTCATCGGTGAGAAGTTGATTTGCAATGTTTAGGGCTTTTATTTGATTTGCAATGTTTAGGGCTTTTATTTGATTTGCAATGTTTAGGGCTTTTATTTGATTTGCAATGTTTAGGGCTTTTATTTGATTTGCAATGTTTAGGGCTTTTATTTGATTTGCAATGTTTAGGGCTTTTATTTGATTTGCAATGTTTAGGGCTTTTATTTGATTTGCAATGTTTAGGGCTTTTATTTGATTTGCAATGTTTAGGGCTTTTATTTGATTTGCAATGTTTAGGGCTTTTATTTGATTTGCAATGTTTAGGGCTTTTATTTGATTTGCAATGTTGAGGGCTTTTATTTTATTTGCAAAATTTCTGATTCGAATACAGGGAATTTGTTGAAAATTTATGAATTTATGATTTTCTGGGTGTTATTCAGGAGATGTATGTTTAGAATGAATTTCTGATTTGTTGGGTTTTACTTATGATTGTTTAATATTAGTATAATTATAGTGTAATTTACGGATTTCTTCATGTTTGCATATTTTCTTCAGTTAATTGTTGAGTACTGAGTTAATTTTTACGTCATTTTTCTTCTTTTTCTTGTCAATTTGTCATTGTATGGGCTTGCTTATTTTATTTTATAATTGGTACATCATTATGATTACAGTATGGCTGCATTTCCTTATTTTGATTTAATCATCAACTACAAAGGAAAAGTGGGAAGAGTGTTTGATGTGAACCCAAATATGTATTGCTACATTGATGCCTTGAAGGATGTAACTGCAACAGTCCTGTCTCACATTTCTTGTAGTGAAGCAATAGCAATCACATTGCATTGTGATATGCCTGGTACTGACGGAAAGAGATTAGTAGAAAATGATCTTGATGTGCTAGACATGTTTTATGTGCAAGGAAGGAGTAAAACAATTAACTTGTATGTAAACATAGAATATTCTATTGGAATGAGTGATGGTGGACATAAAAGTAATGTTGGAAATGAAAATCATGGAGTAGATGCTGTAGATGTAGAGCAAGACTACCATACTGTAGATGTAGATGAAGAGTACCATCAGGACAATGTTTATGGGTTTAGTGATGAGGATAGGGATTGGAATGCAATTGCTGAGGATGAAAACCAATCAGATGCCAATGAGATTTTGAGTGATGATGATAATGAGTACTCAAGTGATGATGCTGAACTTAGTGATTACCAATCTGGTGATGATGAAGTGCCATATTCTACTACTGATGATGATTATGATGATGAAGCAGACTATCTAGATGATGAAGAGATGAGGTTTCCAGGCATGAAGTATGATGGTACCTACAATGGGAAAGAGCCATATATGAATCAAAATGGAGAAGTTGTGTTGAAATAAGGGATGATTTTTCCAGAAGTGAATACTTTTAGGGCTACATTAAGGGACTATGCAGTGCAAACTGGTTTCAAGATAGTAAGAGACAAAAATGAGAAGTCTAGAGTAACAGCCCATTGTGCTGCTGAGGGCTGCCCTTGGAGAATTCATGCATCTCCACTTCCAGATGGGATCACCTACAAGATTAAAACCTTAGTACCTACTCACACATGTAGCAGGATGAACACAAACACTGAAGCTACATCAGCTTGGATTGCTAAAAAAATGGTTGAAAGTTTTAAGGACAATCCACACATGGGCTTAGATACCATGCAAATGAAACTGAATAAAATGTTTGGGATTGAGGCTTCAAGAATGCAACTGTATAGAGCCAAAAGGAGGTGCAAGGAGGAGCTGGAGGGTGATCATGGGAGCCAATATGTGTTGTTGCCAACATATGCTAGTCAAATCAACAAAACAAACCCTGGCAGCTTGGTTGTCATAAATTATGACATACCCTCTACCCCAGTCTCAGAAGATGGAGAACAACCAGACCCTACCATTCCTCAATATCCATTGTTCCAAAGAATTTTCATATCATTTGATGCAATGAAAGCAGGGTTCATTAATGGATGTAGGCCATTCATAGGGGTAGATGGGTGTCACTTGAAGGGTCCCTATGGTGGTGTTTTAATTTCAGCAGTTGCCTTGGATGGAAATAATGGCTTGTTTCCATTGGCATTGGCAATAATAGAGGGTGAATGCAAGGACAGTTTGTCTTTTTTCTTGCACAACTTGAGAACAATCATAGAAGATGCACTACCTTCTAGACCATGGACCATCATGTCTAATCAACAAAAGGTACTTTACTGACATATTCAACAACTACTTTACTTACATAATTACAAATGATTCTCTAATTTTAAACTTGTAATGCTTAGTAATGTTTCATTGTTTTTATATGCAGGGCCTTGATAAGATTGTGAGTGACATTATACCGGAGGCAACTCATAGAAGATGTTGCATGCAGCTATATAACAATTTCAGAGCCAAATTTCCGGGTTTAATTTTGAGGAAGCAATTTTGGAGAGCAGCAAGGGCTTACAATCAGATGGAGTATGATAAGGCTATGCAAGCCATTAAGGACCTGAACAATGATGCTTGCATTTGATTGCAGAAGGTTCCAGTTGAAGGAAGGTCTAGGCATGCATTTGATGGTAGGATTAGAAGTGATCACATCACAAATAACATGACAGAGTCCTTCAATAATTGGTTAGGAAATTTGAGAAGTCAACCAATTTTAACTATGTTAGAGGGCATAAGGTGCAAGTTGATGGGTAAGTTTCAGATGAGGTACCAAAAGGCAATGCAATGGAAATCTAATGTCACATTGAATGTGAAGCAACAGCTTGAGGTCAAGCTGAAATGGTCAAGGACTTGCACAGTGGAGTATGCAGGAGGCAATGAGTATGAGGTGAAGGATAATGAGGGGGTTAATCACATTGTCCATATTGGGGCAATGACCTGTGTATGTAGACAGTGGGAAATATCTGGTCTTCCATGCAAGCATGCTGTGGCTGCAATTTCTCACAGTAGGTTAAACATAGAAGATTTTGTCCACCCCTACTATTCTAAGGCAACTTACTTGAGAGCCAATGGTGGAATGATACATCCCATCTTACACCATAGCATATGGACACTTATACCTGGGGACCCTTTACAACCCCCACCACTGAAAAGATTGCCAGGAAGGCCAAGGACTTCAAGAAAAAGGGCTGCTCATGAGCCACCAGCTGGAACAAGTCAGACCAAAAGGTCTAGTACCTTGAGATGCAAATGGTGCATGCAATTTGGACACAACAAGAGAACTTGCCAAAGAGGTCCAGTCAGGGGTGAAGTATTTGTTGCTGGTAGGGGCAGTGGCATATCCAGTGGTAGAGGCAGTGGCAAAACTGACGGCACATCCAGTGGTAGAGGCAGTGCCAAAACTACTGGTAGGGGCAGTGGCAGATCTGTGAGTAGGGGCAGAGGTAGAGACAATTCAAATGGGAGATGTAGTTCAGCTAAGAGGGGCAATGCAAGTGGTAGAGGCAACTCAAGTGGAAGGGACAGTTCAGCTGGGAGGGGAAATACAACTACAAGAGGAAGTTCAGCTGGGAAGGGAAGTTCAAGTGGGAGAGGCAAGGGCAAGGCCAACCATGCACAAGTGAGAGGCAAGGGCAAGGCCAACCATGCACAAGTAAGTTTTTTGTATTTGTTTTGCCTTTTCATTTGTGATTTTTATTTGTTTTCTATCAATTTATGATATTGATATGCATATTTATTACCTTACTTTGGTTTTCAATTTAGGATATTCCAAGAGGGACCCCCCCAATGCCTGCTGAATGTGTGACACAGGTCACACAGCATCATGTTAGTTATGAACTTACTTATGAAGTTACAATGAAATTAGCTAAGTTGTTGATATTTGTTTGTTTGTGACACAGGTCAGACAACATCAATTTATTTGTTTGTTTGTTTGTTTAACTTTTTTTTGCAGATGACTTAGCTAAGTTGTTGATATTTTGGGTACAAGGATTAACATAGGTTGAAGGTATAAAATATATGTTGCTTGACTGTATAGTTAGTGAGGATCATGTTCCACTTTTTTGTATTTTTGTAGTAGACATGCAATGCTAAGAATAGCAATATGATGATGTGGCCATTTTTGTTTTTTTGTAGTGGCCATGAAGTATTTTATAACTGATGATGTAACTGAACATATCTGATAGGAATGATGTAAGTAAACTACTTGAACATATTTTACAACAATCATGATGTAATTAAACAGGTGCATATTTATGGAATGGTTTTACTTGCTGTTTAGATTATGTTTACAGGTCATTATGTTATTCAAATGAGATGTGCATATTTACATAATGCTGAAATAACTTCATCATATTTATATATGGTCCATTACAAAACATATTGCATTACAAACATAACGTCTATTACCAAATATTACAAAACCTTACATAAGGGCCATTACAAAAGGGCCATTACAGGGCCATTACAAAACAGTAGGTGAATCATTACCATTACATTTTTAGAGCAACCATTAGGGAAATCAAACACATCACAAAATTCATGATCATTATCATCTTTATAAACCCCATGTTTGCTTCAAGTACTTGCATCCTTGTTTGCATAGCCCCCATTTGGTTCATTAAATTCGTTGCAGGACTTTCTTCTTCATAGGATAAAGTGTGTCTGTTAACAGTTGTTTGAGTGTCTTCCATCATCATTTCTCCTCCAATAGATGAGTTTACTGGTTTGCACCACTCCCAGAATCCGCATTTCCCATTTGGGCATAAGTAATACAATTTGCTGTGACTGGGAACATGTGTTGTGCTTGTGCTTCATTTCTCAATAATGGGCATAGTTATAATGCATTTTCATATGCATTTTTTTTTTTAAAAATAGTTAATGTGACTGGGAACATACCTGTGTTGTGCTTGGCCCTTTCTTCTTTTTGTTGTTCTTTAGTTTTGGTTGCCTTTCTAAATTTTTCTCTTCCACTTGGATTTACTGAAGTGAAGCTGGAGAGACTCTAGCATTTGCTATATATAGATGGGTTGAGGGTATTATGGGCATTTTATTGTTTACATTTGATGACATAGGCAGGGTCTGCTAGGGGTTTAAACGGCTGTCAACTTTTGGGGGAAACTTGACATTGGTCAGGTAAAGTAGGGGGTGTTACTGTAATTATTCAAACCACAGGGGAGGTCCCTGTATTTGTTAGAAACCTCAGGGGAGGTAAATGTAATTTACCCTTTTGTTTTTTCTCTTACAAAAGTCAAAAAGTCTATCTCAAACGAGACTTTGGAGTGTTTTAGGAAGTTGGTAAAAACCTAATTTTTTGACTTTTTTAGTCTATTTTGTCTTTTTGTGGGTGAAAAATATGAGAGGTGATGTGACCTAAAATGGGTAAAAAATTAAAAGCTAACTTTTTACCCTCTTTCCAGAAGACCTCTTTTTAGCCTCAGACTAAAATAACTAAAAAATCAAAAAGTCAAAAAATAAATCTACTTCCCAAACAAATGAGTTGTGCTTTGAAGGATAGCTCCCAACTACTCCACCTTGCCTACAAATTGTATTATATAATATATCTATATAGATTGTGTGTAATTTCATTTTTTATAAATATAAATTATGTATTACTAGTCATATAAAAAGTTGATTAGTAAACTTAATGATCTGAATTATTTATTTTGTTAAACTCATTAATCAAATAATTAATGAAAAAATTAAATTAATCGAATATTAATAACTACATGAACAAATCACATTTATTTACAAAAATTAAACAATTTATTCTTAAAATTACGTTTGTAGTCTGTTATTTAAAAATAAATATGATCCAATTATGTGATTACTAATATTCAATCAACCTAATTTTCACACAAATTATTTTTTGACAAACCCAATAAATTGAACAAATCAGATCACGTAGACAGGTCTAAGAATTTATTAGTATGTTTTTGTTTAATAAATTAATTGAAATATTTTTTTTTCTTTTACCCATGGAATACTGCGCTCGCTCGCTCTCTCTCTCTCTCTCTCAATGCAGGCATGGCAGGCAGACCAACCTGAGATGGTAAGGCTTTCGAATTCTTTACTCAAAGTCCTTGTTTTTGTTCTCAGCTTATAGGTTGTAATTGTTTAGTGGTTTGATTTGTGTGTTGGGAGGGGCGGGGGGGGGTGGGGTGGGGAATCACACTCCCCGATCTCCGATGGTGAAAATCTCTCCGTTTCCGACCCCCGACGGGGACCCTATTACCCAGATGTGTCACCCAACTAAGAAAAAAATCTCTTCATGTGCCGCACTTTCCCACACTGATAACAAGTGAGTAGCTACCCTCTCTCTTAACTCTGGTCTATCATTTTAAACTTGCTTTTTAACCTAAAGAGTCCGTAGGAGCCTTAATTTCAACCAAGCATGAGTTTGAATCTTTCTAAACGTACTTCTTAATGCAAAGAGCACGTAAGACCTTAGTTTCAACCAGTGAGATTCCCTGTAGGTGAGCGCTAAGGGACAATACTTCCTAATAGATATAACAGATATGTGAAGTAGCATACCTACATATCTATTTTTTTCACCAAAAAAAAAATATAGGCATGGCATACTTGAATTTCACAAAAGAAAGACAGAACTTAGCCGGTACGATAAACTGAAATTATTTTTCTCAAAAAAAAAAAAAGGTGAGTTACACTAATGATCCCTATAGTTTGAGATTTGTGTCACTATAATCCCTGACTTTTCAATAGTTAACATTCAACCCAAAATTTTGAATCTTGTTTTAAATAAAGACAATTGAAGATATCATTACTTAATTTCTAAGTCAAATCATCAATTTGATAAAATATAAACTAATTTGACAAAATTAAATATCAAAAAAATATTTTTAAATTTTTAAAAAATATTTTTATCCACTAAACATAAAATTATGTAAATTGATAAATTTTTTAGACTTTATTTATTTATTTATTTTACTAAATTAATTTTTATTATGTGTTTAGATAATAATCATGTAATAAGTGATTATTTATATTTTAATTAAATTAGTTTTTCTTTTTTTAAAAATCAAATATGGCTACAATTTTGATATCATAATTAAACCAATCAATTAAATGAAAAAATCCAAAATTAAAAATATTTCATATATTAAATATATCAATTACACATTAAAATCGTAATAATTATCCATTACATGATCGTCATCCAAACACATAATAAAAATTAATTTAGTAAATAAATAAATAAATACCTAAAGATTTATCAAATTTTACATAATTTTATCTTTAATGGGTAAAAATAATTTTTTGACATTTATTTTTGTCAAATTAGCTTATATTTTACTAAATTAACAATTTTATCCTTAAAATTAAGCAACGATAACTTCAATTATCCTTATTTGGAATAAAATTTAAAATTCAAGATCAAATATATTACAATTGAAAAATTAAGGACTAAAGTGACATGAATCCAAACCATAGAGGTTGTTAGTGTAATCCGCCCAAAAAAATTGGGGGGCTGAAATTATATCACAGAGGTTAATAGTACATGTATTTTAAATATATAAAAAAAAAAAAATTCCATAAATTAAAACCCCCAAAAAATACACAAAATCGGCCCTTAAACATAGGCCAAGAGTGAGTATCTTCGCATCATTTCTTCTCAAAATTTTAGCAGCTTCGCAGAACTGCAGATGCATAATAAACGCCTACTTTACTACAGCAGTCTTCCATGGTTTTCGTGGGGCAACAACCTTTGTTTATTGGTTCTGCTACAATACAACATACGAAAGTAGATAGCATATCATCTATATTCACTAGCCATGACAGAATTAACACTCCCATGGCTGATGAAATTGAAGACTTGTCTCAGATTTCCTCTAGACGGTCGAGCATTTATTGCAAATTTACAGATGAACACCAGTCGTCTTCGCATCTCCAACTTAGTAATGCATGTCTGACCGAAAGATTCCCCATCATCAAACAATCCTGTTGAAAAGTGTCTGAAATTTGAGAAAAAATCAAAACAATGCTGATCTTTTTTTCACTTTATGCATTTAAGACCACCGATGCAACGTACAAAAAACAGTACACACCAATTGCATTATCAAAGAAGTCGAAGAAAATAAAGAGCACCATACTTGTAATGGAATTACATTCAAAAGGAAAGTTGTCAAATATGATTTCCTCTGGTTCTAGACATGAAAAATAAATTCTATGAAGGGTCTTCGTAATATCTCGCAGAAAGTTAGGGCTTGAAATAGAATTATTTCTTAAAAGTGTACCTTCATCAGTGAATAATGATGTCAAGATTGCCAAAGAAGCACATATACTAATATCTTCCCCTGGAAACACACAAAACATAATGCAATCACTCAAGGCACAATATACATAAAAAATTCAAATAAGTGATAAAATAAACCTGTAAGAAGATAGTGATGGGCAGCCAAAGAAACAAAGAACGGAGATCCTAAAATAATGTTTACATATTATAGAAAGCAAACATTTTATATGCTATGTAAAACAAAATAACATAGGTCCAACTGCTACATGGATCAATGTCATTCCCATGCCAGATCCTGATGTCTCTTGGTATAACTCTCCAGGGAAAGACAGGACAAATGAACATTACACTTACCATTATTGCAGCAAACTAGAAGTTTCTTCCCTCTTCTTAGGTTTATCTTTGCAAAATTCAGCACAGAAGGGAGATTTCTTAACAAAGAAAACCTGTCCAATTTTGAGTTCTAGCCAGAAATAAAGAAAAAAAAAAAGCAGAAAATTAGCAAGACAATTACTAAAAGAGACCAATAAAAAGTTCCAACCTTTAAATAGTTAGATCCCTTAAGTCCCTAAATACTTTGTGATAAAAACATCACATACCACAATTGGTAGGTGTAAATATGCTTCAGGATTGTTAGCACCGATGGAGACTGACTCACTATCACAGTTCAATATGCAATCAACATCAGATACATCAGCAGCTGCATCAGGAATATAAACCACAGTGAGGTAAGTGGAACAGAATAGAAAATTAATTTTTTTCCAAACATGCAAGGAAAAAAAAAAAAAAAGGGATAGCATAAAGATTTTTTTTTAATATAAAAAGAAAAGGTGCAGCAATATGAGCACACAGCCACAACAAGATGACAATGTAGCAATGCAATTAGAGCATAATGCCGTGAAGTAGGTACCGGATGAAGCTGTGCCATGAGCACAAAGCAAACTATTCTTTCTCCATTTATGTCCAATGTGAAGGGCTATCCTCCAAAATTACACAAGATACGATATCATAATTCCACTCCTACGTAAAATTAGACTACAGTGATGATATGAACAGAGAAAAATTATACAGAATGCTATGGTTGGTTTTGGTCATATAACTTCAAAGCCAAAGACACATAGGGATGGCAATCTAAAACCGGCCCGACGGTGACCCGACCCCCCGACCCCAAATTGAGCGCTTATTTCCCGAAAAATATCTCCCACGGGCCGGGGATGATATTCAAAAAAAAATCCCCAATGATGTTCGGGCCGGGGACGGGGATACATGTCCCAACCCCGAACCGGCCCGGCCTCAGCCCCATTTTCCCCCCGAAATAAAATTACAATTCTACCCCTGTCTATATATATTTGTGTGTCGGCTGCTATGCTCCCTCAAACAATCATACTCACACACGACTTCATTTCGCGTGAGAAAAATGAGAGAGAGAGAGAAGAGAGTCCATCCTCGCCGATCTCCTCCGTCGAGAGAAGAGCTGCTCCGCCGATCTCCTTCACCGCCCCCCTCCGCCGATCTCACAGCGCCGCTCCTCCACCGCCCTCCTCTGCCGTCGTGCCGATCTCCTTCGCCACCCTCCTCCGCGATCTCCTCTGCCGCCTGACTCTTTCCGCCTCTCTTTCTCTATGTGTTATATATACACACATATATATATATATATTAGATTGCAGCTCAGATCTATCTCTCTCTCTACTTAGATCTATCTCTCTTTACTTAGATTTGTGTGTTGTTGATGTTGTTTGATGATATTGTTGTTGATGATGTTGTTTGAATCGTCGTTCTTGTTGCTACTGTTTTGTTTTGTTGTGGTTTTTTTTTTTTTTTTTGATTCGGGGAACTCTTTTGATCCGGGGAATTTTCGGGGTCGGAGAAATCCGATCCCCGTTAGGGGACAGGGATGGTAATAGGTTCCCGTTGGGGGTCGGGGCTGGGGACGGGACATTCTTACCATCGGGGATCGGGGACGGGGAGGGTGATCCCCGGCCCCGCCCCGCCCCGTTGCCATTCCTACACATCAAGGTGGCTTCTAGCTTCTAGCTTCAAAAAATGCAATAGAGATTTTTCATGTTTAAAATTTTCCACTACACTACTGCACACACCTAACCATTTTTATTATTATTATTTTTTTAATCAGCAACAAAAGCAAACACCATTATCACTACCAATTTCCTGTATAAGTTGCTACCAAAACATGATCTCTGGAGCTTACCATGGCCAAAACTTCCAACATGACCATCATAGCCTCCATCCACCACCTGATCAACAAGACCTCTAAATCAATACCACCAACTGGCATGTGAATAGCCCCCAAAAATCATTTGATAAAGGAATTCCAACATGATGATGATAATTTGACTCTGCAGTGTCAAAATACCTATGGTTTTCCCTCAAGGCCAAATTTAGATAATATATAGGCCATAGCAACTTAATTTTAATTTCTAATTCTCTGTATTTCAAACTAATAAATTACTACTAAGCGTACGTAAGCTAGCAATGCCACTTTGGTCCATAAGACATTTCCAAGCCCTAATCTAAACAATACTGTCCAAAGAAAATGAATACCTCTAAATTTGCCTTTCATATTTACTTATGAGGGAACAAAAAGTAAACAGCAAAAAACAAATAGTTTTTTTGGGTAACCAAAAAACAAAAAAAACAAATAGTGCAAACAACTAATTAAAGCATTTCCGCCAGGAAACAAAAATGACTTAATTACCATACCAAATCGAGTTGCACCCACTGCAAGATTAGTTGAACCCAGCCAAAATATTGTGCAATCATCACTGAAAGACTTAGCATTGTTTTCAATGTCTGGAATCTCGAAGTCCATTTTTGGTTCATCAACAGAAAAATGACCGTTGCTCCCTGACAACTTCAACACCTTGACAGATAACTGAGGAGCATTCTGCCCCCTTTGTGCACGGTATACTCTGTCCTTTTCAACAATATCGGCCACCTTCTGGTTACACAAATCAGGCCCCAAGTTAATAAGATCATATGCATGATTCCAGAAAAGGTTTGGCGACAAACCCCTAGCCCAACTCTCTTCATCATCCCCAGCTCCAGATATATAATTCCAGCTAAACTCTGAAGTACTCCTGTGCTGGAAATTGCCGCTTGAGGAAGATGCTGAAACAAGTATGATAGGAGTGAAATCCCAAGAATTATATTCAGGCACTTCATTTAACCAGATGACAGTTTTTTGTGAAATCCATAGGGGACGTAGCGGCTTTTTCAAGGATGATGCCAGAGAGGCAATATCAGCTCCACTGGTTTCCAATTGCTCGGTCCAACCTTCCAAGCGATCCTCAATAGAAGCTCTCTCTGTTCCGGAAACCCAGAGGGGTAGATGCAGGGAACAGTCCCAGTCAGGAAAGACTTTTCCGGTATCTTCAGTATGCTGATCAGAAGTGTTTGATTCCTGTTGGAACACAATAACACCAGAAAGATATATCAATGATTATTGGACCAACTCATGGATAATGTGACACATTGATGACTCAACAAATTGGCACAAAGCATTATGTAATGTGCATTGAGAACAGATTAGAAACTTTGCAGCTTTTATCATATAAAGAGAAAAACAACAGAAACCACATGGAAGCACAAATGTTCTAAACTTTTTACTATAACGTGTAAAAACCTGCATTAGAACCCAAAACTGCCATATTCCAAAAACTCCATAGGGTCAATTACCCAATTCTCCAAGTTAAAAGTTAAAAATAAAGTAGCCTTCATAGGGTAAATCATTAAAAAAATGTTCGGTAGTCTTCCTTATTATAGACATAAATACAAAAACAAGATGCAAGACAAGTCAAGTATTGTCACAAAGCAACATAGTTATGGTAATAGAAAAGATCGCCTCAAAGGGATAACATACCCTCAAAAGATTCTTTTGTACGTACAAATACTTACATAAATTTGAATATATAAACCTAGATTATTGTAGAGAGAGAGAATTTGTTTCCTAAGGTTTGGGTCTTTGAAAATAAATAGGGAGATAGAAAGACAAAGGATGGAATATAATAAGCCTGTTAGTTTGAACCCTTTTTCTAGCAAAAAATATCAAAAATCAAATTCAGCGAATCAAACCAATTCAATTCTATGATTCACTGATTCATCTACGATTCACAGTTATTTGGAATTCAAGCAACCTGTTTGTATCAATTCGAATCATGAATTGTGCAATTCTAATAACAGAGACCGTAGCAATTTTACACTGACCACTTTTGACATTTTTAATAACCATACTATGGCTAAACCATATATGCAAGTTAAAATGACCAGCAGCACCTGATCACTGCTAAGTGTACAGTCCCACTTTGTTCCACAACATGACATAGAACTATCAACTATAAGGCTAGTATCAAACTCCCTGCTTGATAGTCTTCAATCTTCAGCTACACATAGATTCCTATGACAAAATACTATTTTATACCAAAAAGGAATTAACAGTGCCAACAGTACAAACTAAATCAACATATTTACTCAAATATGCAATGTATTCATTGACCATAAACCAAAACCATGACAGAAATCATAAACAAAAGAAGATATAAAAACCAACTTCAAAATTATAACCATTTTAATTCTAATTGTTGAACAGAACTGCAATGGACGACATTTGATCATCAAGTTAGAACAAGATGTTATCATCACTTACTCCCTCCAATGGTATTCCTGATCCACGCATCTTGTTCCGAACATTTAAAATAGATCGATTCAACACACATGTCCATATTGGTATTGTCTTCGACATACTGTCTGGAAATCTCTTCCCTTTCCTAGTTGAATCAATGATTATACACCCTCCCCGCTGCCCTACCCATCAAAAAAAAAAAAAAACGAAGGAAAGAAAACCTTTAAATATATAACACAAGAACCAGTATGTGCTTGAGAATAAGAGAGGAGTCGCAAAATGTACTAAAATTTAAAGTAAAATACACAAGAAAAATCACTAATTTCAAACAAGCACAGATCACAAATTCACCATTTCTGGAAAAAGCAAGATTCCAAAATTTCCTTCTTTTGTATAACTCATTCACAACATTTGCATATATATATATATAATATACAGAACTACATATACAAAGGTTGACAATGGTTTTGATCACCCACACACACCCTCTCATTGAAAAAGTATATTTATTGACCCATTTGAATTTTTTTTTTTAAAGTGTGTAAGTTCGTACAGAGCAGATAAACAACATATGTGAAGTCTACTAGAAAATCATAATTACAGACAGACAGAGAGAATGAAAGGGGTAGCGTACCGGCGAGGAGGGCGACATGGAGGTTGAGGCGAGAGATGTTGAAGGACCAATTGTTGTTGTGGCCATCGGTGGATTTGAAGTAGCAAGTATAGTCGAATTTGGGGGAGTACCAAAGTCCGCACCGGAGATTTGCGAGGACTGCGAGCTCCGGCCATAGCTGCGCGATCTCTCCCACGAAGATGGAGTCCTCGTAGATTGATCGGAGTGCGTTGTAGAGAGAGTTCTCTTTGCGCTTTATGCTTCTCGAGGCTCTGTATATGCTCATCCTCTCCTCGTCCTCCATGCCTCACAACACAAGTCTCTGCTTCGCAAGGAACACCTAGGGTTTTGCTTTGCTTTGCTTTGCTTACAGATGCAGGCAAGGCAACTAATAATTAAAATTGTGTCTGTGTTGTATGTACTATTTTGGAAGAAAGAAACCGTAATTTTCATTATGATTTGTTGCCAAAATGTAATTTTGAAGATATTTGTTCTCAAACTGAAAATAAAGGAAATTTTGTTGTCGAACCAAAGTTTCAACAAGATTGGGAAAATTTTATAAACAATAATGCTTGAGACCACTAAAAGTGGTGCTCTAAAAGCACCACTAGTAATGTAGTAGTGGACGGGACTTACTGCTTGTGTCTTGTTTTTTTTTTTATTTTATTTAAAATACTTGTCAACTCATTAGTGGTGCTATAGAGCACTACTTTTAGTGAGATGTATTATTACCGTTTTATAATACACAAATTATTTGGGGCAAACTTCACTTTGGCCTCTCGGATTTCAACTTTGTGCAATTTATCTCTTAATGTTTGAAAATAATTATGTCTCCGTTTGGGAAGTGGGTTGATTTTTTAGCTTTTTGACTTTTTTGGCTATTTTAACCTAGGATAAAAAGTTTAGTTTTTGGAACGATTTTTTAGTTTTTTGACTTTTTTAGATTTTTTTGTGAGAGAGTAGTGTAATGATTATTAGTTAGATGTGATGTTTTGTTTGTTGTGGGTCTATTTTGTCTTTTGTGACTATTTTAGCCACAAACCAACTTTCCAATTTTTTTGTGGTTTGTAGAATGAAGTATATCGTTAATGATTTAATGAAAAAAATTAAAATCCTTATATTTTTATCATTTATTTATAAAGCAAAGTGTACTTTAATCTTCTGTATTTTATTTCATGTGTGAATTACCCTTTTGAAAATTGAAAATAAGTATATAACCCTCTTATGTTTGCAACATATTTCATATTTACTGTTAAGTTGAATGAAATGTTTAATGGTACATTTCAATCCATAAATTATATGAGGATTATATGATTATTTTCATATGTTAAAAGATAAACCACACATGACTCAAACATAGCAGTAAGCGAAATTTGCCCAATTATTTGTAACTAATGGAAAAGATTGGCTGAGCTAGTCTCACTTGTATTAGTTTTTATGATTTTTAGATTATTAATTAAAAAAATTAAAAATTAAGCCTATTTGGTTAAATAAGTTGTTATGGATTTTTTTTATTTAAAAAAAAATTCTATTTCTCTCTCTAAGATACTCTAATCGCTCTCTCTTCTTTTTAAGACAGGGGGAAGGTGGTGTTTTTAATCTTCCTCTCACCTCATTTTCTTCTCCTGTGGTTTCTATTATCATACTAGCCACTACCGCTTCTCTCTCTTTTATTAGCTTGCCACTGAGAAAACTTTCAGATCTAGTCTCAAATCTAATTCATGATTGTGATCTGATGCTAGCATGTTGTTGTATGTTAGGTGATCACCTCAGATTCAGGATATTTTATTTTGTAACGTAGATACGAGAATTAAGATATCAAATCTTCATGTTGTGATGATGAACAGATTATGAAGATGATTGTTATTATTTATTTGGTAGTGATCTTCTTCTTCTTCTTCTTCTTCTTCTTTGCAATAATTTATCTATACTATATATTAAGCAAAAAGGGATTTTTAAACCCCAAGGCTTGTAGGATCTCTAATATCCCAATCTAAATTTTCTAAATTTTTTATTTAAAAAAAAAAACTCAGCATTTATTGATTTGGTCAAAATATCCTGATCAGCATTTATTAACTTATTTCAATCCACATATCTTTCCACTTGCCTACATTTGTTGATTTGGTTAAAATCCTCTGATCAACATTTAAAATCTCTTCATACAAATAATTATAGATATAACTTATGTATAGTTATTGCAGAACCCTTTTTAACTTCTCTCATACACTATGGTTAGTGATAAAATTGTTAAATTATTTTTATAAAAAAATCTTTAAAAACATAATTTATATATTAAAAAAATCTAAAACAAAAATAAATATCTATAATTATCCCATCTATCTAGCTATACTATATATTAAACAAAAGGGAATTTTTAACCTCCAAGGCCTGTAAGAACTCCAATATCTTAATCTGAATTTTTTAAATTTTCTATTTAAAAAAAAACTCAGTATTTATTGATTTGGTCAAAATCTCCTGATCAGTATTTATTATCTTTTTTCAATCCACATGCTTACAATTATTGATTTGGTTAAAATCTCTTGATCAGTATTTAAAATCCTCTCATACAAATAATTATAGATACAATCCGTGTATAGTTACTGTAGTACCATTTTCAACTTCTCTCATACACTATGGTTAATGATAAAATTGTTAAATTATTTTTATAAAAAATCTTAAAAAACATAATTTATATATTAAAAAAAATCTAAAAAAAAAATCAATATCTATCCTCTGATTAGCATTTATTAACTTTGTTCAATCCACATGTCTTTCCACATGCATGCAATTATTGATTTGGTTAAAATCTCTTGATCAGTATTTAAAATCTCCTCCTACAAATAATTATAGATACAATCCGTGTATAGTTACTGTAGTACCATTTTCAACTTCTCTCATACACTATGGTTAATGATAAAATTGTTAAATTATTTTTATAAAAAATCTTAAAAAACATAATTTATATATTAAAAAAAATCTAAAACAAATATAAATATCTATAATTATCCCGTGCATAGCACGGGTGATAGGCTAGTATATTATATAAGGAAAATGGGGTTTTTAAGAATATTGATTGTGTAACGACCCAGAACCGTATACCATGATTACCAGTAATTAATTATGTGTTAGTATGATTTAATTGAAGATTATCTGTTAAACTTAGAAAATACCTGTTGAGATTACGACTTCGGGACTGAAATTGATGACCGTAATGGGTTCGGAAAATGAAATTGAACACGCCTATGTGGTACCGGGAATTTTTAGAACCATTTGAGGAAATAAATTAAGGACTGAATTTCGTCTGATTCGTGAGTCATGTTTGGCGTAAGTGTTTTGAGCATAATGGTTTATTTTGTTATATAATAGATAAGAATGGATGTTTTGACTCATTTGACTCAAACTAAAGAAAAAGAGAATATCTGGGGAGAGAAAGAGAGAGAACTCGGGGAAGAGAGAAAGGAAAGGGAAAGAAGAAGAGAAAAGGGGGTTAAACTCAAATCTTCTCCAAACTAAGCGCTTAAGGTAAGATTCCCATGAAATTGATTGTTGATTCGTGGTATTTAGCATGTTGAACACAAGATCATGGCTTTAAAATGGTATGATTTATGGTTAATTGGCATTGTTGAAGGAAACCTCCATGGATGTTTCGAAATGAAGCTTTTATGCTCAAGTTTACGATTCTCTATTTTACTCCAAGATTTGATCTTCTATTGTTCCCATATGAGTTTTGATTTGAAGTTTTGATGTTGATTTAAGATGGGTTTTAAGTATTTTGGGTCTTAGATTTCATAAATGTGGAAAGTGATTTTGTAAAGAGGAGAATGAAGCTTGGAAGAAGAACCAGAAATTCGGATCTTGCTCTGTCCGCTCGAGCGGAGGGAAGCCCGCTTGAGCGGTGAAAACAGCCTCCCAGTAGTTTTGGGACTTTTTACAGTACGCTCGAGCGGCCAAAGTGGCGTTCGAGCGGGACGGCCTTTTTCAAGAAAACTTTAGGGAAGTTGCAGACTTGATTTTAACATGTTAATTGCATCATTTATCATGAAATGAGGTAAAGGAAAGAATGAAGTGCATGAATTACAGGATTTAATGATAATGTGTATTGAGAAATATGTGATATGTTGATATTTGCAGGTCAAGATTTGAAGACCGTGCATTCAGTTTCGGAAACCCTCTGTGAGTAACATTTCTGTAAAGATATGTTATTATGAAATATGTTTTAAATGTATTACGTTATGCTATACTTTGAAATGAGAATGTTTTCCGTGAATGAATGTCCTGATTTGCGAATCTAGTATGGCATCCATAGATAGTTGGGTCATGGGGGCGGGAACATGCAGGCCCATGCGTCATGAGTCATGGGGAACGGCATGGAAGGACAAGCCCATGACTAGTTACGAGATCTCGTAGACTGTTGACTGATAGACTGTTATGAAAGGTTCTGTGGAGTATGCCATTACGTATGTTCTTATGATGACTGATGACTGATATATGTTTATGATTGATTTATTGTGGATTCATGAAAATGTCGGACTTCGTTCACTAACCTCTTTACTGTTATGTTACTTGTTGAGCTCTAGCTCATTGTTTGTAATTATGTATTATAGGTGAGCATTCTGGAAGTCAAACCTAGGCGGGTTCTCGAGCCGAGCCGCTGTTTTGAAGCCTAACAAGTGTTTTGTGTGCTCCGAGCCGGGGCTAGGCCTAGAAGGCCGTTTTGTGAGCTTTGTCTTGTTGTATCTGTGGCTTTTACCTATGTGTTGTATATGATCTTTTATTGTATGTAATGTACAGTAAGTGGGTAAATTAACCCCTTTTTTGGCATATAATACTTGCTCATAATTACGCACAGCTCTTTGGACCATGGTTATTTGTTTTCGCTTCCGCAAGCCCCTTTTATTTATGTTTTGTATAGCAAGGCTTGTGGTAATCTAGGATTACTGGCCGGTCTCGTTGCCAAACTTCTAGGGGCGAGTTTGGGGTGTGACAGATTGTGGGAGTTCCAAACTCCCAAACTAATTTTGTTAATTTGTTAATTTTTAAAGAAATTAAAAAAAAAATCTATTGGTTGTTCCTTAAGTCAAAAAACCAAAAACAAAAAAAGGTTTTTTGAATTGTAAAATTTAAAACAATATGATAAGTCACCCTCACTCTTTTCAAAAATAATGTTGATCAAAACAATTCAAATAAAGAAACAATAAAGGTACTAATTATCTATGATTTTGAATTTCAAAATTCAAAATAATATGGTAAGTCACCCTCACCCTATTCTCAACATTTTCCAAAATAATATAAATCCTAAAACTCTAAAAACCCAATTAAATTAAAAATTCAATATAATTCTCCCTTTAGAATACTCAATATTTGATTTTTTTTTTCGAGCCCACCCAACTCCTCTCCAAA